GTGTATATGTATGTATGTGTGTGTATGTGTGTATGTATATATATATTATATATATATAATATGGTACAAAAAACTGTTTTGGTCTCTATGTAGCTAATTCCCCTTTCATGAAAATTGGCAATACATTTTAAATAAATAAAATTAAAGTTTTGCATAATTAAGGGAATGACTGCTTTGGGTGACAGGTTGGTGCCCTCTCACATCGCTAGCCGCTAGGTGGTTGATAGTCTTTTTCTTAGCCTGCTTGCTTTCTGAGTTGGAGAGAGGAGTTTGTTGTGTTTCAGTAATGTTAGGAAGTTTTGGTAGCTGTTTGGATTTATTTCCTTTCTTCTGACCGTTGGGTCTTTTTTTTTTTTTTTTTTACGTTTTCCATCTTGAAATTAAAAAAAGAATTCAAAATGAAAATCCGTTGACCGCCAAGTACATGGACCACTTAACATCAAGAAAAAACAATCCAATAAATACCTGTATTCCATGCATTTACTATTGTGCGCATGGACTGTGTTGCCAAAGCTAAGAGCAGAGCAGCCTGGCTGAAAGGTGATCTTGTGCTATTCAGAAGATGAACAGGTGAACAAACTAATTTTCTTCCCTGACCATGGAAAAAGCAGCAGTCCCTTTGTTTGGTTTCTAAAGATGTATTGGCCCTCGTGCTGAGTGCAGCTAGAGAGCTTTTTGTGTGTCGCACACTTAAAAACCAGCCACTCTGCCCTCTCTGCTCACTCTCACTCACGCCACGTCTTTGATTTTTGTGACCAGAGTTTGATATTACTTAAACTGCTTTATGTCGCAGTCGGTTCAACCCCCTATTGACTTTGCTCACATACCCTCAGGCGCACACACACATATTGAGCCTCTCCTTTGCTCAGTGATATTTTAACAATGCTCCCCCAACCCCTCCTTTTGACACCACTTGTATAGACTGTGTGCCAAGAGAAGGATTAGTGTTTTATATCACTTCTGACATTTGGCTGGCTCCAGTTTCAGCGTCTGGATGTTGGAGGTTTTCAGCACAACTTCCATGCTTGTTGTCGCCATTTCCTCTGGAGGGATGTTGGCATTGTTCTTTCTCAACAGTGTCAACCACACATAAAACACTTCTCAGCAATTTACCAACTTCTGACTGTTATACTGTCTGCACTCCAGGTCTTCACAACAGCTGCCAATTACTGAAATATCAATCATTTTCTAGGGTTTTCTAAGAAGTAATATTGTTTATCATTTATCTAATGTCTACTAGTAACACATCCTCACACAGAAATGTTCAGTGTCACTTTAAATCCTGAGCTGTCCATCTTTTCCACATATATAGTCTTCATGTTCACAGACAGCATTGTTGTTTTACTTGTAAAATCCTTGTCTTCACCTCCCTTTCTCTGTCTCTCTCTCTGTCCTTGTACTCCCCTCTCTTTCCCCCTGTGCTTATTAGTTAATGAACTGCTGCTTCTTTGGGCGATGGGAAAGGAAAACAGGCAGGCTCCCGGCAGATAGCTGGCCAGCCGCTCGGGTTTCAAAAACACTGGCTCCTGTTGCTCTGACAGCCAGTTTGTCCCAGCCTGCCCCAACAAAAGGCCACATCTGGTTGTTAGATCCCAGGGTTTGAAGGACAATGTGGATGGACCGTACTAGATTTGTCTAGTTGTGTTTATGCATTGAGCGGTTGGATCTGTGTTCTTGGTAGCTGAGTTAGCTAACAATAATTCCACATCCTAAATTTACTTTACCACTGGAATGGTGACGCATTCTGATTTGTTGTTTGTCATATCTGACAGAATAGTTTTAATTGCCCAAAGTACACATTTCTATTCAGAAGTTGAATTTAAACCTTTCCACCACACGCTCCACTGCTCTACCTCTTTCATTGGATGGTGAAAATTAGTAGGCTACCAATATATGAAGGTGTCCTGTTTCATAGTAGACATGGCAGCTGTAGAGAACAGGCTGCTAACATGTTCTCTTTACCCTGATATTAATAGAGCTTTTAGTGTAATATCACTATATTTTCTGTCATTTGTGGTTAGTCCCATGGAAAAATGATTTTAGGGTGCAGTAGTTACAGTATATAATGCATTCCTGTGTAGGCTATAAGCAGAGGGAGACACATTTCCCTGATTGTGAAGGAAATCTATTCTCTTCATATGTCACTTACCTGTCAACATTATGCAATCTAATGCTATCCACAACAGTAGCTCTGCTATAAATTGATTTCAAAATAACAAGATTTTTTATCGATTCATTGACTTTTTTCCCCTCATGCTAATTGTTTAATCTACAGAATGTACAGCAAAAAATGACAAAAAAAATCAGAAATTCTCTGCTGATGTCTTTAAAAATTCCAAAACCTAAAGATATTCCGGAAGTGTTCACACTGCCCCTGTAGCTGTCACTGTTTTGTCTCATTCTATTGTCCTTCTCCAGCTCCTCCTCCTCACCCTCATCAACATGACACAGCTTATATACATACAGAGATTCCTCGCTTATAGATGTTGTCTTTGTGTGATAAGACATTACAAACTGTTGTTTATAATTAGGGCTGGGCACATTAACTTGTCATTATTGCGTTAACGCATTAAATAATTTACGCCGACAGTTATTTTGTATTTCTAAAGGTAAACCTGTGCTCCTCATGTGAACAGGAGACGAGCACTCCGCGAGTAAACGGCAGGGCTCTATGGAGAGTAACCAACAGCTTCTGTGCGCTACACAGCTGTAGCCTATTTAACTTAAGTTAAAATTATAGGCTAGATAACTTTACCTGATAGGCCTACATCTAGTTTTCTCTGCCATGAATTCCCTCCTGTTGGTGTTATTTTATTATTTATTTAGTAAACAGTAATAGATTCTGGAAACTCACAAACAGCAAGGATCAGTCTCTCTTCCACTGATTTGTGCTTCATGTCGCGTACAAAAAGGTGACCACTTCACCTCACTCTAACAGGGACACTTGCTACTGAACATACACTGTTTGTGTTGCTCCCTGATAAAAGAAAAATGTTTCTGCTGATACCTGCTCAGACAACAAGAAAACAGATTTATTTATGTTAACCTGTTGCTCAGAAGGTGCCTGTTATGATGTTCTGATCGTTGCTCTAGACTCTAACTTGTTTTAACAAGCTATAAAAGGTCATGCCCTGGCAGTGGCAGACAGCTGTGGTTTATATTTGATCTGATTACATTAATGTTTAAGTTGAGACTTACAAGAAATATTTTATTGCTACTGTGTAAAGGGAAAAAATTTTGGTTTGCAAACCACGTTATTGCAATTTGTGTAAATAGCAGTACATTTAATTTAAAAGTGTGTATACACTACTTTAGAATTCGTTATTCAATTTTGCGCTTAACTATGCGATTAATTGCAATTAAAAATTTTAATCGTTGCCCAGCACTATTTATAATAGTTATAAATATATAATTCATAAATATGTGTATATAAATAATTTCATTGTATAATAAGTGCATTACTAATCATGCACCTGTCCCTGCGTGTGCTGATTCCTGTCTCATCTGCGTCTACCATGGCAAATTTCCTAGTAAGAGGTCAGTTAATTTGCTGCATCTTGTGGCAAAATCTTTTTCTTCTTAATTCCTATTTTTTCGGCACCACTTATTTCTTTTTCCTCTTTCTTTCTTTTCGCCGTATTTACCGTCTCTGTTGCGCTTGTCACACAACCCTGGGCCCAACGAAACGTTTTGAGATTGAACTCCTCCAGATGGAAAATAAACTCCTCTGATCGACGCCATTGAGCCAGACAGACTTCAGCAAAGACGAGGATCAGTCCAAGTTGGGAGGGGCTGCTCGTATCTCTCCTCAGTATTGAAAGTATTAGTTTGGCCCAGTCTGACAGATACACAGACCACCGGCCGGTTCTGCCTGAAATGGACCGGCCTTCCTGATGGCCACTCCACCCCTGGAAGCAGTTTCACCACAACCTGAGCATTATAAGTATAAAAATTATTTTAGATCGAGGCGGCTAAAATAATTTTTATGCTATTAATACCGCTACAGATATCTTGACTTCTATACTGGTTCCTTATCGATTCTCTTTTCAATACCAATGAAATACAAATCTATTTGAACAAAAGAAAATTACATTACACATTACAGTACAATTACTCACTTCAAAGGAGGGAGGCTGCTGACGTGCTAGCTGCACTAACAGTACAAACAATAGTAACAGATTTAACAGTGTATGGGGGTTAGCAGCTCAACCTCTGGGGCAACCTGAGGGGGAGGACCGGAGGGTGGGTGCTACACCTCCACGTTATCAGCGGTAACCGTCACAGGAGAGGCACCACTCTTACTGGCAACACCTGGGCCAGGTTGTGCGCAGTGTGGAGCGGCTGTGATTAGTTATCCAGTGGGACATAAACAACCAGATAGTTGCTGACACAGAGTGTGGTGCTCCTTAAGTGAAGGTCAAGGAAGAGCGGACCTTGTGCACCTTGTCCCCTTATTTGGGTGCCTCACATGTGTCAGAGTAACAAAGATGAGAGGCCAGGAAAGAATGCGCCTCAGATATCCCCTTCCTCTTAACTCACCATACCTCATTTAAGGAGACAGAAACAGCCCCATCTCTCAATGGGGTTCTTCTAGTCAACATGACATGCATCTGAAACAGCCTGTGTATCAGTGTAGCAATGTAGAAGGGCTTAGGTGCACTACCGCTGAAATGAGGCATGTGGGGAGGGAATGGGAGACGGACCATCCAATTCTTCATTCACCGCACTGCCATCCCAGGCGGGGTGCCTCTAATCCAAACATATGTATTATGTCTGAAAGACAGCCTGTTCTTCAGTGTAGTAATGTTACAGTAGCCCGTTGTTTCAGCAGTCGACGTGGCTGCACGCACTCCGCTTGTCATCACGGTTAAAACTTTGAACACTTTGAATGTAGATGCCTTGACCTCTGTCAAGTGAGCCAGTGAGGGAAGCAGTGTTGCTAGCTAGTGCTAAAATAGACAGCAGGTCATGATGTAGCTAGAGTCTGTTAGCTCCCCAGCGCCGGGCAGAGTGGAGGGAGCAGGCAGATAAACAGGTAACGAGAAAACTTATTAGGACTCTGAGGATAATCTCATCAACACCTGATGAATGATTCACGAGTCTGTGACTGTACTCAAGGTGAGACGAGCAATGCATGCACTGTGGCATTAATGTTTTTAAACACAGTTTTATTGAAAATTGTGTTTCTTGTCTTTTGCAGATGCTAACCATGAAGCAGCAGCAGAGGCCATCGAGAACATGGCAGACGCAGTCACACACGCTAGATTTGTGGGAACTGACCCTGCCAGTGATGAAGTCGTCCTTATGAAAATTTTACAGGTACAACATGTTTACTATGAGTACAGTGGTCCGCAGTACTACAGTGGTCTTGCAATGACTTGATAGACCCAACAAATGACGTCCCTACTGTCTCAATCTCGGTACAAATGAATCCAGTACTGTGCAGCAGCTCTCCAAAAACTGACCTTTGTGAAGCTTATAGTTTAGTTTTGTTGAGAAGTGAAAATTTCAGTTCATACTAATTTAATGTAATTTATGAAAATATAGTTGGCAAAGCACCTCTGAGTGAGAAGGGTCACCAGAAGAGCAAGACGAGATGGCTAAAACATAATCTCATTTGTCTGCGTTTTCACAATTTAATGCATATCTGATAGTGACACACATTTGTTCAGAACTATCTGCACAAATGCTTGTTTTACAGTGAGAAGAGCAACTTTAAATAAATGCCTATAGATTTGCACTGGCAAGTACAAAGCATACAAGCATTTCTATATAATTATGTAATCCGCAGAAACATTTTTATTGGGGATGTTCAGTAACAAGTGTCCCTTGAGAGTTTGGTTAAGTAAAGGGACGCGCAGACACCCGCCTGCTACCGAAGTTGAATTGTCTTGAACTTTTTGTATGCGACACGGAAGAAGACTGATCCTCGCTGTGTGTGAGTTTCCAGAATCTATTACTGTTAAAGGTAAACAGGTAAAGTTATGTAGCCTATAATTTTAACTTAAGTTAAATAGGCTACAGCTGTGTAGTGCACACAAGCCATTGCCATGGTTACTATCCATAGAGCGCCTGCTGTTTACTCGCAGAGTGCTGTCTCCCTGTCTGAGGAGCCCGGAGCAACCCTGCAGGGCCAAGCAGCTACATTTTGATTTTAAGAACGCTCCTAAGACCGACATCTTCCCCAGTACTAACCAGTATGCAGTGTGTAGCTATCCACTTCGCTATGGCATTTGATCGTTTGTCTTGCGTTTGTTTATCTCCTCCTCCTTTATATGACTGTGGAATTTAGTACAGTCATATTATGCCTATTTTCAGGTCCTGAGGACTCTGCTGCTGACGCCAGTTGGAGCCCATCTGACTAACGAGTCTGTTTGTGAGATCATGCAGTCCTGCTTCAGGATCTGCTTTGAGATGCGCCTCAGTGGTGAGTCAAATCACATTAACACTCATCAAATCATTTAGTCCGTAGCCATAGCCCTACTGTTCATAATAGGATGGTCAACATGGAAAAGGATGCAGTCAATTATAGTTATCCAAGGAGGGTTAAATCAAGGGCAACTAGACATGGTTGAAGATACTTGAAGAAAGTTCTGACTGTCTGGCAGGGAGTCCCAGCTATTTAACCTCTATGGGGTCATTACCAAGCTTAGTTGTCACTGCACTGTTGTAATGACAGTTGATGTTTGTTGGAGCCAACTGAGCCCAATACTGAACAACAGTCTTGGGCATTGTCACTGGGGTATATACAGTACACGTCTTCAAACAACAGACTTCTTGGTCTTGAGAAGCTAACACACTGTGACTAACACCGTACATTTACTGCCAGAATATTTTCCTGGAAGTTTTCTTATCACTAGAGTAAAAGAAGACATGGAAGCAAAATACACCAAAATCTCAAAATTGACAACTACATGAAATAGTGTCCTGCCCTAAACAGTAACTACATCATTTTGATCATAGGCTCCTCATCTAATAACTATCCATTTGTTTATTTTATACTGATAGATCTTTACATGATACTGACAGCCCTCCCTCAAATGTAAACTCAGTCCTTGTCACCATCAGTTAGTGTGTGTGTGTGTGTGTGTGTGTGTGTGTGTGTGTGTGTGGTATGTGTAAAATAGCAATAATAAAAATGTATTTGATCAATACATTAATGTGTTCAGGCAACTCAGTATTATGTTGCTTGGCTGTGTGATGTTGTATGATAACTGTTCACTGTATTTTAGTTTCATCAAATTTACAGTTAGAGTTGCATTCTAGGTGTATTAGAAGATATTCAGTTGCATTATAAGCTTCCTTATGATGGTTTTGATGGTTTATTGCATTAAAATACATGCATTAAAATGCTTTTTTTTACCGGGCGAGGATGAAAATATCAGATTTTGTCTTTATTGCATCTCCATGTAGTCTGTAATAGTAAAATGAATATATTAATATACAATGGTTTTATATTCCTTAGCTTCCGACTTTTCAAAGGAGACCAGAATTATGCATCTTGGCCAAATGGTTGAGGAGTTATTCCTGATTCATTTTGGGTTTGTTATTTTAGGCCTTTTTTCTGTAAAAAAGGTGCCTGTGCCCAACAGGTTAATGTTTTGTAGTTAAAAAAATTATTTTAAATAAATATTTCTGAGAAGTGCCTTTTTTTTCACTTTAGCCCTTGCACCCCAAAATGTCTGTGCACATCCCTGCGTGTTGGCATCTGTTTTATTTATACTGGGGACTTTTTGAAAGCGTTTATTAAAAATGCTTTGAAAAATAGCTTGCAACATGAAATGGCAAAGAACCAATGAAAGTTTATTTGCATTTTTAAGTAAGAATAAACAAGCTGCAAATTATAAAATGACCCAAAATGTTCAGCACCAGTCAATAACTTTAACAACTTCTTGTCACAGTTTCTGTTTGGCCAAATTTTCCGTTCTCTCCCAGTGAACATGACAAAAGAGGAGGCAAGACTAAATCTTTCCTGCATTTGTGCTAATTCAGTTGGGATGATAATACATCAGAAAAGTTGATCTACTGGAGAAACATATGTGAAAGCAACATAGAATGCCTGAGAGCTGCACTGCATTAGATTATGTAATACTAGATTTGAATTTTCACATGCCACCTGAATTTTGTGTTTCCCTTTACATAAAACATTTTCATCATAAATTGATGTAGGAAAGGTAACAGGAAATGTCACCAGAATTCAGGAAATTAAGTGTTTAATGCTCAAAATTATCTGGGGGAGGACCCCCACATCCCCCACTCATGTAATTCAGCTTTGATGATTTCTATTAAATACTGTTAATTTATTATCACATCTCGTTCTTGGGACACCGGTGTGGTGCATCGCCACATCTCGTAAACTAAGTGTATCGTCACATCCCTAATCTGAGCCCTAATGTCCCCACTACTTTTCAACACAAAGTGACACCCTTGTATGTCAGTATCTTTCTCTTGTTGCAGTAGACGAATGCACGTTATCTATGCAACATGTAAGCTTAAACAGACCCCTCTGACATTGTCTCTGTAGATTTCACTGCTTGCGTATCCTTCTCACCTTTTTTACCCCTGACCAGTTTGCATGCCTGCGTTTAAACTCTCTGCCAGAGTTGTCACTTTCCTAGCTTCTAATCCTTTCTGGGTTCTAATGTTTTTTTTTTCTGTATTTGCAGAGCTGCTCAGGAAATCAGCTGAACATACACTGGTTGACATGGTGCAGCTACTGTTCTCCCGGTAAATGAATGGGAAATTGGTGGATGAAGATGGGTGCAGTATACACTCCTGAAGTGGTTAAGAATGTGTATTCTATATATTCTATATATGTTACAGAGACTAATCAAAGCATTTCTTGTCGGACTAGAATTAAAGTTGCTTCAATGTGAAGAGAAGTTTTAAACCCCAAATCCAAAACGTTCTAGAAGAAAAGCTGGACGGACTGCTGCTGCACTCCTCCATCACTTCTAGATAATGGATGAGCAGTTCTCTGCATATATCTGTCTCTCAGGCGTCATTATTCCCCTTGAAGCTTGTGAATTTCATTTTGTACTGTGCACAGGGTCAACGGGCCACTGATTTACTAATGCCATAACATGATTTTGCCTTTGGCATTTAGGATAAATGCCCCCCCACTGCCCACACACACACACATACACATTCACACACACGCACAAAAAACCACCTTGTCCAGATGCATCAGAGTGCCAGTCACATTCAGTCACAGACAAGGGGATGAGCCAATTGAGCTCACCGCATGATCTGCATATAGATGAAGCTGATCTCTGCTTTTACAGCAAAGCTTCCAGTCCCATAAATACTAAGGAGCATACCTACACACACAGGCACACATACAGAATTAGCATTGCCAGCAACCCCAGACAGAAGCAATCAGGAAAATCTGCCACAAAAAATGCTTTCGGCTCATCTGAATGTAAAGGAGCACATCTGGAGAACAAACAGAGCTCAAAATTAAGTTATGTTGTCCACCTCCTCTCTGAAGGTGCGTATGTCACCACCAAGACTATTTGATGCAGGATTTGTCACAAACTGATGGATTATATTCCCTCCAGTGAAGTCTAGTGTTGGTTTTTGCCAAGGTTGTCGCCATTTACTGACGTTCCCTCTAAGCGTTCTTGGCCTGTTTTTATTTATTGGCAGGACTCTTATATGGGACCTTGTTATCATTTCCTACTTACTGTGTGAGCATGGAAATAGAAAAGCATGGCAGCCACAGTCATAGACAGGCATCCCTGCACATGAACAGGAGATATAAATTTAGTGTGGGCATACTACCACGTCTATTGCTTACACATACACAACCCCCCATCTCATTTTGCTGATGTTCAACCCCCAACTTGTCCACAGACCCTGGATAATAGAGATGTGAGAGGGTCTGGGCTGCACCCCTCTATCCCTATCAGAGAATAATGAGCAGCAGCTCTCTCCAGCTCCTCAGAAGCAGTCTTAGATTGCCTGACTGAAAGTATTAGGCATGTTAATCTGTTGGACCCACAGATCATCCAATAATCGTGCTCGCAAGACAACACTCTATTAACGTGGAGTTAATGTCAGGAGGGGGGTTGCTGGCTCCTTTTTTTTTTTTTTTTTTTTTTTTTTTTTGTCCGTATGTGAGTGTGACTGGTGACATCTCATTTTCCAACAAAGCTTTAGAGTCCACAGAAACCTAGTGGAATACACACACACGCATTTTTTGTGTGATGCCTTGAGAACAGCAGCCAGCATTGCCCATCAAATGCTGGAAAAGTTTATTGACTCAGGTTTAACATGTTGAGATTCCCACTGTGATATTGCGTCTTAAGCAGCTTAGGACACGTCCTGCATTCCTTTTTTGTTAATTGTTTTGGGTTAAGAAAATGCATTACAGGGGTACTTGTATTGCACTTCCATCAAGTTGGGGGACTCACAATAGACAGATTTGAAATTGACAGTAGAGGCCGAGATATACTGATTTTTATTAACCAAGCAACCGATTTTTAGCAACAATCATGATTATCTGTTCATCATTCAATCATTTGAGTAACTTTTCAAAAAATGCTCCTCGGAAGTTTCGTGTTTGGACCCTGTTTTGACCTTTTTTAAAACAAGCATCTGGACTAGCAAATAAATAGTCAAATTAAGCAAGAAGCAACACAGAAGCAATTAAAATCTGCTGATGGCATCATAATGGATACTTTTTTATTTCAAAATTCCTATACCCATAAGGATAATATCTGGACAATAGTCTGCAATTTAGGGAGAGATTTATGTCAGAAGATTGTTTTCCCATCTTAATTAAATTGTATGGGTGTTTTTTCCCCAGACTACCTCAGTTCAAAGAGGAGGCCAAAAGTTATGTTGGAGCCAACATGAAGAAGGTAACGGAACTGATCTTTCGAATGTGTATTTGATCTGCTTGCTATTATTGCTGTTTTTCTCCAATTTTACTGTCTTGGTTTTTCTCATTGTCATTGTGCTGTTTTTAGGTTTCTGTCTGAACATTCTATTTGTGGCTATGAAATGTGACCTTTACAGCATCTTAGACCCCTTTACCTGGCATTAAAATGTGTCTTATATCCAGATTGAATCCAGAAACCTGATTACATTTAGACCTGATGTTGTTATGCACCTCCAGTGTCCACATTGAGATCTGATTGCTCAGACCAGCTCAAACACCCGAACATCACAGCTTGACTGTATAATAATAACTTTCTGAATGAACCAGCTTACTTCTGTGAGTTGTTTTTTCCTCCATGGGTTATCCACTTGTGTTTTCCTCTCTTCAACTGTGATAATAGCTCAGCCAGAAAATGAAACTTAAGCTCCGCCTGCCATCGTTTACTTATGCTACCATTCATCATAACGTGTACTCCTTTCTGTTGTTTTAGTAATTTATATTGAGTTTAACACAGCAGTGTGTGAGTTAACTTGATACATTCAGTTCACCACTAAAACATGAGAATGTTCAGTGAATAACTCTTTATGGACACAATGTCTGAATTCGCCATCAAACTTTTGATTTTCTTAGGGGAAGACTGTGAGTGATGCCCATTGTTGTATGTGGACTGACAATACAATTGCATTTATACTTGTGTTAAATGGGGTCACAATGCCTCCCTGACCAACTCCGGAGATGGTTTGGCCGATCAGATCACAATCTGTCCTCAGTGCGTCTCAGGTGCATTTACATCTGTACTTTTGTGTGGTCAAGCACTATCCGATTGCAATCCGATCACCCAAAACGCATTTTAATGCCAGGTGTGAAGGGTGGTCTTAGGTAAAATTACCTCGATTCATTAAACGATGTAATTAAGGACTCAAAGTCTGGATATGCCTTTAACACCCCTATTTATGGTTGTGCTGCTCCTGTCACCTGTTCCTAACATTGCAGCCCTCTCTGATCTCATTTCTGCCTCTCGGTTTACTTTTGCTTTTTGGAACTTTTAGCTTTTGGTTTGAGTTGCCAGTCTTTTGTGTCTGCCTGTTTACCTTCCCACAACACCATCCTGTGTCCTGGACACTAAGGATCATTTTTGTGCAGAGCAGTGTAGAAACACAAGTCAGAATGACCCGAGAGGGTACTTAACTTGCCTGTGTGAGTCCACTGGCATAATGCACTGACATAGGGTTAACAAGACTTCTTGGTGAGAGTGCATGAGAGTGCATTGGGTTGCTATTAATCTTTGGCTTGCCTTTTTTTAAGGCCAGACAAGTTTATTTGTATACTACATTTCAAAAACAAGGCAATTCAAAATGCTTTACATAAAACAAAGCACCATGGGCAGTGGTGGCCCAAAGGTTGATGGTTCAGTCCCCAGACCGGCAGGATAAATCTGGGTGTGAAAAGTAAAACAAACAGTGCCCTCCCTCATTTACCACCACTGAGGTGCACTTGAGCAAGGCCCATAACTCCAACTGCTCAGTGGCCAGCAGACCAGGCTGTGGTTGTACTGGGCAGTTTCCAGGTGTGAATTGTGTAATGGTGTGAATGTGATCAGGGCCTCCTGCAAATGAGAGGTCTCAGTAAAGCTCCATGAATAAATAAAGGTTAAACAAATACAAATAAAAAAACATTGGGCATTACAAAAACTAGAATTAAAAAGGATTAGAGAAAATTAAAACAATCTAAAACAGGAGAATAAAAGGTAGCAGCAGCAGCTGAATCAGCTGTAGCTGTCTGATCGATCTTTTAAGAGAGACCTGTAAAGACAACGTTGCAGTAGTCGAGTCAACTAAAGATAAATGCATGAGCATTTTTGTGGAGACTTTTTGTTAATGTTGCAGGTAGTGTTTTAAGTGGTGGGATGAAGAGCATCATAAAATGGCTTTTCTAACCTTTTCAGCGGAAAAAGTCTGTATATTGTATATATACACTCCTTGCTGTTTTTGTTATACATGTAGAGACCTGAATATTAAGCAGTTGTTCCAGCAGTTGTTGGTTTTTGCATTATCTGCCTGCCTGTCCACTCACACTGCCTGCTCATTACCTGGCTGCTCATTCTCTAGTGGTTAGAGCCTGTTGTGGCTGTGTCTCAAAACCCTGTGCCCTGTTTGGATCCCACACCACTATCATCATGCATAAATGTGTATGCTTGAGTGTGTTTTGTGTTGGTCCCACTGCTGACATGTTACCCATCACTAATCACGGGCACCTGCCCGCTCCCCTTCTTTTCTGAGGCTTACAATATCTTGTGGAAAAACAAACGAGTACAGGTAAGGAAGATGACTTTCAGTATTTAGGCTGGGGAATCTCTCTTCGTAACCTTTCCCCTTGCCTTTTTTAAGACCTCGCTAACCTCCCACTTCTTTAATGAATAAACTTGGCTAGAAGGAGGAACTTGACATGCTGTATTTAAAAAAAATGATCACCTCCTATTAAAGAACAAAGCAACTGATGTAGATGATTCATCACGTTAAACATTGTTCACTATGACATGTCTGTGCTTGTGAATGCTCACATTAGAATTATTATTATGAAAATTGAGTCACTTAAAGGTTAAGTGTGTAAGTTTTAGTGACCCTACAAAAGATGTTGTCGTCTGAGACAGCAGAGCGTAGCCACTAACCAGTCAAGAAATTAGGTTTCTTTTGATAGATATATTGAGAAATTATATTTACTTAATTATTCAGTAAAACCAAGTGGAACTGTGAATATTATTTAGTTGTTCATCAAACGGCAACATCAGAAAAGTGCTACATGATGTGGCATACTCCTGTAATACATTATTTTACTGTAATGTAATTATGCATTTTGTTACATCTTGAAAGAGTTGGCTCATCAACTAACATATTAAAGTAAATAAAGAACATCTCAACAACTATTTCATCTAATGCAAGTATGACTACTGACAGACAACAGGAAAATGTAAGCCTCACTGTTTCTGCACCACAGTCCATTATAAACCACATTATACATGAAGTTTGTGGTAAAACGTTTTTAATGGGCGTTTACCGTGTTATGTTAAGCATTATTGGTCACTTAATAGGCACACTGTCTTGTTATCATATAACGCCGTTAGCAGTAAAAATATATACGTTTTTTCCACCAGGGTAGTAAAATGTGAAGTTTAGCTACTGATCTGAACTACCATACTGTACAGTTTTATTGCCAATAATATTCATCAGCTGATTGTCTTGCCAACTTAACTGACACATTTCTGTCCGCGTAGCAAAGTCAGAATACAGCGTTGGATAATAACTACATGAAATAAATCCAGCTGTATATTTTACAACATTATTGGGAAACACTACACTTCTCTCAGTGACTATGTCCAGCTACTAGCTAAAGCTATCAAACAACAGTTCATTTGCATCGCTAAAGTTCAACTAACTTAATTACCTTTCTAGCAGAAAACTGGCAACTTCAGTGCTGCTTTGAAAACATTTGTCCTCCATCAGAGCCTTCCATCTGGGAAAATCCACCACGATTATATCCTTGATTTCTGCCATCATCTGTCTGCATCTGTCCCGACTTCATCTGGCTTCATCGTGTATTCGCTTCTTTGACGACGAAGATTAACACTCTGTTGGCTCGTGCTAAATAATACGTGTGTTCCTCCATTTGTCCAAATTTCACTTCTCTATTTCCTCTTCTTTGTACGCATTCAACGTAATAAGTGTCTACGGCAATTATACAAGAACAACAACAACGTAGTGACGAAACGCTTTCTGTAGAGCCATTTGTCTGTTATCGGCTGCTGTAGAAAGATGGCAACCCAACATGGTGAGCTCCATGTAAGGGGGACCTGCGTTATGTAGATAGAAATGGCTCATTCTAAGGTAATAGAAACATAACAGTTCATTACGTAAGGTCTTTATACACCACTGAAACACAGTTATGGATCTTATATTGCATTTCTGTATAGATCCTCAGAAATATTACACACTGAACCTTTAAGTATTTAGATTTTTTTAAGTAATTTTTTTTTAAATCATTGTTATGATTAATTCATTATAAATAATCATTGTATATTATTTACCACTAATTATTATTATATTTAGTTGTGTATAATTAATTACATTATTCATTAAAAACCTTTCATTTTAAGTCCAGAAATCTTATGGCACTAGTTGATGAGCAGCTAAATGTGTCAGTTCACTTCAAAAGCTACATTATTTACTACTTTTTATGTAGTATTACAATGATGCTGATGAAATAAAACTAAGAAAAGACTGACTGACATATGATGTGCATTTTGTTTTTAAATATGACAATTGACATAGAGTCTATAAAAGAGTATGATTCAACTTTTCCCCAATGGTTTAGTGTTAAAAAGCAAACAAAAATCACAATTTAGAATCTCAATACTTCAGAATCACAATACATGTCAAATCGGCAGTATTGTGATAGTATTAAATCAGGAGATAAGCACAAGAGTGTCTGAAACTGTAAATAATTTAAATAACTAAACAGTACCCAGAAACTGTACAGTTAAATTATCTTTTAAAATAACAGCAAAGCAGATTAAGCGGCAGAGTCGCTCTTCCTAGTGTACAGTATATGTGTGCATGAACGTACTGTGCTGTTTTTTTTCTGTGGATTGTTTTCCAAAATTGCAGTAAAAGGAAGCTGTGTTTGTTTTAATACTGTGATCAAATAAGATGCTCTCTTTTTAACCTCAGTATTTTCCCTGATTGAGATATATCACTTATTTCTCAGAGAACCAGGATTACACTGGCAACCAGAGTGGTTTCTTTTTATGTTGTTGTTAACTAGTGTTGCCAAAGCATGCTGCACAAAGTTAACAGTAAATGTGTAATAAATGGTAAATGGATTGTACTTTCTAGTCTAGCGACCACTTGGAGCACTTTACACTACATGTCACATTCACTCATTCACACATACATTCATATACTGACGGCAAGGTGCCAACTGCTCATCAAAAACAAAAACTAATCATTCACACACTGATGGCAAAGCCATCTGCAGCATAATGCTGCAGGAGTGAAAATATGCAGCTGTGTATGTCCATTTCAAAGAGCACTTCATCGATTTATCATGGCACTTCTATAACATTGTCTAACTCATGGTTTTAAACAAAAGTATAAAAATGAATGCAGCCATTCTATGCATCCTTCTTCTTTGCCAACGTCACCCACAATGCAACTTGACCGCTGATAGTTTTGTCTGAGATTCCTGTGTGTTAAGCTACTAGCATCTAATGTAGCATTGAGCTCCTAGCCTCAAGCAAAGATGAGGAGCTACAAAGGTTTGATAAACACACCCCCAGACTTTGTATGCCTGCTTGCCGGCGACAGCTGTGGCCTGAGGCATTATGTTTTCACGTTTTCAAAGATGTAGTCTTCAGTTCCAGCCGACGCTAACTGAAGTGACATAACTTCAGGACATTTATCAAACTTCTGACATATCAGACATATGTAGACATATGCACATGCACTGATGCTCCCAAAGATCTGAAAACAGACTAAAATTGATGGAGTTCCCCTTTCAGAAGAAGGTCACCCTATCCAATCATGGCCTTAATCAGTAATGATGGTCCAGCAGTACTCTGTGTTTGGAGAGACCTTACTCAGGGATCTACTCTGCTTCCTGTAGTTGAAGATGCGTGCCGGTGGGATGAGTGAGTCATCTAAATGGAAGAAGCAGAAACGCTCACCAAGGCCGCCTCGCCACATGGTCCGAAGTCCCTCCGGTCAGATGGACCCATCCCAGTCCAGCACCCTCAGCAACAACAACCTTTCAGGTAAGAGACACAATATTGTAATAATACACTCAATGATACAATTAAGAGTGACCCTTTTTAGAAGCTAAAATTACATCAAAGTCCTCAGTTCTCTGTTCTCTTTAAAAAATCCAGGTAGGGTAAAAACTAAACAATAATAACATGCCCTTTTTATGAAAAATCTCTGATTTTGACCCTATTTTCTAGCAAACAAATGAGTAAGGAATGTGTGGTGGATCTTAAATATTGCTACTGATTTTCATATGATAGATGAAGCTGTAGTATATATTTGTGCATGCAGGTGAATGGTGACACACAACATGTTATACCAATCTATGGCTGCATCTCTTTCCTGTTAGGTGGTGTCCCATTCATTGAGCAAGGCTTGTCGACCTCTAGCCTACCAGCTTCAGACAGTGCTGGTTCATCCATTTGCAGCCCTACAACCACAGACAGTGGTGTGGACACCTGTTCCAAAGCCACCTCTAGGGAAGACCTTTCTGACCTGGAACTATGTAGCTCATCTGCAGCCACCCATAGTACTGCTACCACACTCCCTGGGATTGAACTTGGCTCTCCTGATACACAAGTATGGCTGTTTGGAAAATATCAATAGGAAGACCAACAACTAGGGCTGGGCAATAAAACAATAATGATAATTATCGCAATATAATTTTCCTCAATATCAAAATTTACATTTACATTATGTTTAGCGGACGCTTTTATCCAATGCGACTTACAATTGCTATATATGTCAGAGGTCGCACGCCTCTGGAGCAATTAGGGGTTAAGTGTCCTTGCTCAGGGACACAATGGTGGATGGAACCCTGGTCTCTCACAGCAAAGGCATAGTCTTATCCATTGCGCCATCACCACCCCTATAATGTACAATATCGTCAATAAATAATTGGTTTCATTCATTTGAATCACAAACAAATTAACATTTAACATTTTTCTATTAAAATATTTATTTTGTTGAGGAAAAGGGACTGAAAAAAGATTTACTAATCATATTTGTCAAAAACAAAATTTAATCATAATAGTTTTGAATCTTCTCCCTCAGATTTGTTAAGTGATCCACTGTTTGGCATCAAGTGTTTGTTCCATTCTGACCATAAAGAAAGATTAACCACATAATTAACCATCTGGTTTCTTAAATATTCAGTCAGGAGCAAATATCAGCCTTTAAACTTGAAAGAAATACCGATTTGACATTTATCATGATAATCGATATCGATATAATGTTTTTATCGTGATAACATTTTTGGCCATATCTCCATTTTCATTTTGAGAAATTGTGTCTATTGTTGGTAGCTGTGTGTGTATTCAAGTAACTCATGCATATCGTGCAAAAGTTCATGCAAAGATTTATTTCAGTAATTCAACTGAAAAGGTGAAACTAATACATTATATAGACTCATTACATGCAAAGTGAGATATTTCAAGCCTTTATTTGATATAATTTCGATGATTATTGCATACAGCTTATGAAAACCCCAAATTCAAAATCTCAGAAAATTAGAATATTACATGAAATCAATTAAAAAATAAAAAATAAAAAAAAAGTATTTTAAATACAGAAATGTCAGCCCTCTGAAAAGTATAATCATGCATATGTACTCAGTACTTGGTTTGGGCCCTTTTTGCATAAATTACTGCCACAATGCGGCGTGGCATGGATGCTATCAGCCTGTGGCACTGCTGAGGTGTTATGGAAGACCAGGATGCTTAGCGGCCTTCAGCTCTTCTGCATTGTTCGCTCTCATGTCTTTCATCTTTCTCTTGGAAATGCCCCATAGATTCTCTACGGGGTTCAGGTCAGGCCAGTTTGCTGGCCTATCAAGCACAGTACTCCCATAGTCATTGAACCAGGTTTTGGTACTTTTGGCAGTGTGGGCAGGTGCCAAGTCCTGCTGGAAAATGAAGTCAGCATCTCCATAAAGCTCGTCTGCTGAAGGAAGCATAAAGTGCTCTAAAATGTCCTGGTAGACCGCTGCGCTGACTCTGGACTTAATAAAGCACAGTGGACCAACACCAGCAGATGACATGGCTCTCCAAACCAACACAGACTGTGGAAACTTCACACTGGACTTCAAGCATCTTGGATTGTGTGCCTCTCCATTCTTCCTCCAGACTCTGGGACCTTGGTTTCCAAATGAGATGCAAAATTTGCTCTCATCAGAAAAGAGGACTTTGGACCACTGAGAAACAGACCAGTTCTTGTTTTCTTTAGCCCAGGTAAGACGCTTCTGACGTTGTTTGTTGTTCAGGAGCGGCTTGACAAGAGGAATACGACATTTGAAGCCCATGTCCAGGACCCGTCTGTGTGTGCTGGCTCTTGATGCAGTAACTCCAGCCTCAGTCCACTCCTTGTGAAGCTCCCCCACACATTTGAATGACCTTTTCCTGACAATCCTCTCCAGGCTACGGTCATCCCTGCTGCTTGTGCACCTTTTTCTTCCACACTTTCCCCTTCCACTTAACTTTCTATTAATGTGCCTTGATACAGCACTTTGAGAACATCCAACGCTTTCCCTCCTTGTGGAGGGTGTCAATGATGGTTTCCTGCACAGCTGTCAGGTCAGCAGTCTTCCCCATGATTGTGAATTCCACTGAACCAGACTGAGAGACTAATTAAAGGCTCAGTTTTGGATTAATTAGCTGATTAGAGTGTGACACTTTGAGCCTACAATACTGAACCTTTTCACAATATTCAAATTTTCTGAGCTTTTGAATTTGGGGTTTTCATAAGCTGTACGCAATAATCATCAAAATTATATCAAATAAAGGCTTGAAATATCTCACTTTGCATGTAATGAGTCTATATAATATATTAGTTTCACCTTTTCCGTTGAATTACTGAAATAAATGAAGTTTTGCATGATATGCTAATTGACTTGTGATTTGTGTTCTATTTCCATTTATGTCTAGTGTGAGGGCAGGCATTTTGAACCAGCTCAGTCTGCCTCAGTGGAGTCCATACCTGAAGTTCTGGAGGACAAAGATTCCATAACAGAGCAGTCTGACAGCACCTCTGTCCATGACATGGACTATGTCAACCCCAGAGGAGTCCGTTTTACACAGTCTACACAAAGAGACGGTAAGGATACTGAGGCTTCTTTCACCTCTGATTTCTCTTGTACTGCAAATTGTTTTGGCACTCTTGATACACAGTTTATAAGCAAACAGTTGCTTTTGATAATCACTGAGCTCAGGAATCTGCGCATACATGTTGACTTTGAGAGCTCCACATTGTACAGTAATTGTGTTTTCTTTATAAACTGAGGACATTTTCTGTACTTGTCAGATAAAAATCTTGTCTACAAAATTAGTTGGTTCTTTCTTAACCTTCGTACCCCTTTTGTCTCTCCTGTAGGAGCGTCCCTCATCCCTTATGGCCTGCCATGTCTAAGGGAGCTTTTTCGCTTCCTGATTTCCCTGACCAACCCCCATGACCGCCACAACACTGATGCCATGATGCACATGGGCTTGCAGCTGTTGACTGTAGCACTCGAGTCGGCACACATTGCTAACTACCAGACTTTGCTAGGACTGGTCAAAGATGAGCTTTGCAGACATCTCTTCCAGGTGAAGTAGAATGTAGAAAAGAAAGCTCATAGTTGTTGTATGTATGTGCCTGTGTTGTTTGTCTCTGCATTACAGTGAAGATAATAAGATAATTTTGCCTAATTCTGAAACTGTTGGGGAATTGGGGGAAAAGGAAACTTGCACCGCCTAACTGCTAGGGATCGTCACTGCAAGCTGACACTAGTGGGATCTGCTGTGGTAGAATCCATAATATGTTTTAATTCAGCTCTAGTGCAAATCTTTGCTTAGATTAAGATTTGTGTTTGTGTAGGCCTATATTAAAATATGCTAAAAACAATTAAACGGTATATACAGTTATTTATATACATATATTCATAGTTTCCAGTCACGTGACATGCGCACCTGGGGGGCAAAAGAACAGACCAACATAGCGGCACACAGCATGACTCCCCAGTAGAGACACTGCAAAAGCAGTTACATTTTATTTGGATCACCTCTCAACTTAAGAAAACAATAGATATGGACACAAACTGTAAGTGTTGGGCACATGCATCTATATACAGCACCCGTTGCCCTATTTCCACCATTAAAAAACGCCAGGTCCCTGTCGCCGCTCGACTGCGGTAATGTTTGTGTTTACCTTCTGGGGAATCCCTCACCTAACACAGCCCATGCTTGTCTCCTCCTCGATTAGTGCTTCTGAAAGAACAACAACCATCCAACATTTTGGCAACGCAAAAAGTAAAAAAAACTAGAGGTAACAGTGTATCACTTGCTTCCTGGTTGGCAGGGCAGCTTGCCCTCCAAGGGAGCGTTCCGCATGGAACGTGATATCACGTGAAAACTATGAATACATACATGTATGCACCCTGAACATTCCACAGTTCCGCAGTGTCAAGCATTTTGCATTCAGTCAAAGCAGGAACAAAACTATGGTGACAGTGAATGAGTGAACTGGCATCAAGAACAAAATCACACATTTTATTGAGAGAAAGCTGGACTGATTTTCTGTATTAATATTTCACTGTAACTTTTCTGATGATTTCTGTCTGTGTTGTAGTTGCTGAGTGTGGACCGTATGAACCTATATGCTTCCTCCATACGAATTTGCTTCTTGCTTTTCGAAAGCATGAGAGTACACCTAAAGTTTCAGCTCGAGGTAGCTGTGTAACTAAATTTATTTTTTTTATTTATCAAATAATCTTTATGCAGTCAGTTAACTGCCAATTTAAGGTAAAATTGATCCTAAGGAGCTAATAATCAACACCCTGTGTGCTGAACTGGCAGATGTACCTAAAGAAACTGATGGATATCATAACATCAGAGAACATTAAGATGCCCTATGAGATGAAGGAGATGGCTCTGGAGGCACTGGTCCAGCTGTGGAGGATCCCCAGCTTTGTCACTGAGCTGTACATCAACTATGACTGTGACTTCTACTGCTCCAATCTGTTTGAGGACCTCACCAAGCTGATGTCCAAGGTAACATTCACTCACTTTAAGCATAATGATGATGAAGATTTGAAGATTCTGAAAGATTTTGAAACATCATGTATTCTTTGTACAGTACATAAGACTGTGGAAGTCCTTGTTGGATAGGCTAAACTTCAAGCATAGTGCTTTGTTTCCATTTTTTTTCTCCTTCATGAATCTTTAAAGATGGGTTAGTCAGTTTATTTCAGAAGCATTTTTGGTTACATCTTGACAGCAATCAATAAATCAAATGCTCTGACACAAAAATGAAAAGAATCTGCTTCCTGTGGCTGTTGCAGGACTGTAATAAGCACAGACAGCCAATCATTTCATTAGCCGTGAATGAAATGATTGGCAGGCTTGATTGACTCAATGTGCATAAATATGTGTTTTGAGGAGTGGCTTTGGAGGGAGGCCTAAAGGGAGGAGGTGGGATTTTTTCAGCTGGAAACCTTCAAAATCTAGCCGTCTCTTACAGGTTTCTCCAACATTGCCAACCCCAGCTTTAATAAACTAAAAATAATGCAATTTCTTCCTCATAATTTTGTAGTTCAAGAAATAATGCGAAATATCTGGGTGGCTGAAGACCTTTGTTATCCACTGTATCTAGTGTAAAGGTAGCATCCTTCACTACTGATTTGATGGATTTAAAGACAATTAGACAATAGATTATGAGGTCATAAGCACATTATCTAAAAGTCTTGAAAAACATTGAGATTAGTTCTTAAAAGAAATACCTTAGAAGGTATTAAACAGTCTTGAATTTAATTTAAAAAGCTCTTGAATATTTTGTATTTGCTGCCATAGACAGGCAATAACATGAGTGAGAGTGGTGTGACTGGATTGTGTGTGCAGTGAGGCTGTTGTGGCCTTTTTTGTGGAGATTCAGTCAGCTCCATCAGACCTGCAGCAAACACTGTTACTGCTAGCCACAAGAACACTCATAGTAGGCAAGTGTCAAAGTTTTCGTAAAAACACTTCAGTAACACAGTTCTTTTTCCAAAAGAGATTAGCCTAGTTTTTATATTTTATGCCTCTAATGATGGTTGTATATAAAAATTAATTCCAATATTTTGTTTTTCCCCCCTCTCACTATAGAATGCATTCCCAGTGTCAGGGCAGCTCTACACCACCCACCTCCTGTCACTGGAGGCTCTGCTCACAGTGATTGATAGCACTGAAACCTTCTGCCAGGCCAAGGTGGTCAACAGCACTGCTCATCAAGACCAGTCAGAAACACTGCTGGCAGAAGACGAACGTTCAACCAAAAACGGAACAGACACTACAAGTGGTATACACACATCTAACTGTGACTTTAGAGACATCTGACTGTTACTCGCAAAGTCCACTGAATCTGCCTGCATTGCATTACGGCTACGTCGTGGTTGCTGGAGCTACCAGATGCTGCCGCAGTGCATCCCAGAAGCGTGCCAGATGCGTGCCAGACGTGACTCTCCGCTCCGCTTCACAAAGAATAAGTAGCAAATCTATTTTTGACATAAGCCACGTCAAGCAGTAAATGTAAATGCTCCATATTTGTATAGTGCCTTTCTAGTCTTTTCAACCACTCAAAGTGCTTTTACACTACATCGCATTCACCACACACACACACATTCATACACTGGCAGAACAGCCACCACAATTAATTTCAGCACAGAGCAGATCAAACTGGGCAGGAAATCAGACACAGTACAGGAATAGAGAATCCGGTTAATTTTTTAAATAAAACACCCTGTGCCAACTCCTGATAAACAGACAAAAGAAGAAACCATTTAACTACGTTGCCTTCTTAGTCATACTAGAAGCACAAAATGTAAGCACCAAAATCGTCAACAAAATCATGTCAGCAAAATCAGGCAGGCAAAATGCTCTGATTCTGAAATGCTCCCTGTGGGATATGCAGCTGCATCAGCTGTGCTGATGACGGAACAAAACGGTGTCATAGAGATCTTTGAAGGAGGTAGTAGAAGCACAAAAATGCAAATTAACAAGTCAATAATGTGGGGCAGGCTACACGCTCCGCTGCTGAAACGCTTCTGAAACGCTTCCAGTGGAAGTTGATGCCGTGCAGAGGACAGAACAACAACGTGGCGCAGCCGTAATGCAACGCAGATGGAGTCAGTTTTGGAGAAAAATTTGTCCTTAACTGTCACTATTATTTACTTTAATTATTTACATTTTTAATTATTTACTATTTTACTTTTACTGTTGGGCTTGCTAGTTATTTTCATTTTTTTTGTCTTCAGACCTTAACAGACTGGACAGTACCAATGATCTTAGTCGTCCACAAGCTGAGAATGCACCAATGTGTCCACCAACCAGTGGATATCTGATGGCAGAGAAGATGAGTCTGGGTAGACAGGATCAAGGGGACAGTGACGCTGGTGAGATTTTGAACTTATACACAGTGTTGGGCAGTAGTGTCGCTACAAGTAGCACCGTTACTAGTTTAACCACATTTTTCAGAAGCTGAATCAAATAGCTTTTCAGTAATGAAGATCTTTTATTGACCGAGTAGCGCGGTAGCTTCTACACACACTACATTTTCCCAAGCCTTTCTGAAGGATCAGTCAGTCACGCCACCGCCACACACGGAGCTGTATGTGCAGCCGGCAGAAGCGCTTCCTGTGAAGGTGACATCACGTACCGATCCTTGGGCCGATGTCTGCAACTTTGCTGCAGGGGAATTAAGACGCGCGATTGAGTTTACTTTCTATTGTGATAGTTATTGTAACAGCTCTTGTGAGAAGAATCAGGGTCCAGCCTGGACACCTCTTCCTCTACTGAGGAGGAAACTTTGATATGTAGTAGTAGTTACTTTATACAAACAACAATGGTTCTCCGTTTGTTGCATGAGGAATTACATTTAGCTGCAAAGAGTAGGAGAGTTTGTGTGTCTGATGTAGCTCTCTCTGGCACACACACACTGTTTGGAGCAGGTTTTTAGTCTTTCTTCTATGCTAATGTGGAATGAAGTTAGTTCAATATAAACTAGGCCTATACTGTGTGTGTGTGTGTGTGTGTGTGTGTGTGTATGTGTATATATATATATATATATATATCTATATATCTATCTAACCATAAAATATTAACTTTGATGTAACTAAGCTACTTTGGCCACGTTGCTGTAGCATAGCTTGCTACATTTCACTTGGGGGCTTCTGCGTAGTTAAGCTTCATTTAATGTAGAGTAGCTAGTAGCTTAGCTCACTACGTTTTCCAGGTAGCTTGCCCAACACTGCTTATATACAGTTTTACCTTAAAGTCTAAACATTGGGATAGAAACCGTCAGTTGAAGCTATATACATTTTTATTTTTTCATCCAGCTGAAAAGAAAGCCCCGAAAATTCCCCAACGTTTTACATCATGTTTACCTGATTCCCAAGAGTTGATGGAAATTAGAACGAAGAAAAAGGTGAGTCGTATTGATTGATCTAGATTTGTTGTAACATTACACATCTACTACTACACTTTCAAACTGCCTTTTTTGTCATGTGTCCAGCTGCTAATCACAGGGACAGAGCAGTTTAACCAGAAGCCCAAGAAGGGAATCCAGTTCCTGCAGGAGAAATGCCTCCTCACTAACCCAGTGGACAACAACCAGTTGGCCCAGTGGCTCAGAGAAAACCCTCGATTGGACAAAAAGATGATTGGCGAGTACATCAGCAGTCGCGAGAACATGGAGCTCCTAGACAGCTTTGTAAAGTAGGATGAAACTCCCTGGCATATTGTGCATTTACAGTCTGGAATTAAAGGGTGTAGAGGTTTTAGTTCCCATGAAACATGAGTGTATGAGTGACAAGTGTTGATGTTATTAATGAATAATGCTAAAGTGTTGCATTTAATGTTTTTAATTATAATGTGAATGTTTTTTGCAGCACATTCACCTTCCAGGGGCTTCGTATTGATGAGGCCCTGCGGCTCTACCTGGAGGCCTTTAGACTTCCTGGAGAGGCTCCTGTCATCCAAAGACTCCTGGAAACCTTCACAGACAACTGGCATGTAAGATGTAAAAAATCTTAATTACCATGTATAAAAGCATGATGACAACGTGATCAGTGATATACAGGACCCAGTCAGGATGGAGAGATTATACTCCAGCGAGAGCAATCAGCTAATTCAGGTTCCAAGTCTTGAACATAGCATTGTTTTTTTAAATGGAATAATTTGGGATTTGGGATTGTGGCAACTTGTGACACGCAGAGAAGTGGACAAGTCACAGGACTTGAGTCAGACTCAAGGCACAAATCTGGTGACAAAATCAAAAAAGACTTGCAACTTGACTTTGACTTGACTTGACTTTTTGTGCAGTGAATTATCTCATTGTCAACAATGGATATGCTTTCAGTTAACAATGCAGCCGCCACAACTTCAAACTTTGCCCAACATTTGAGGCTTCCAAAGGAATGATAATTTGCATGTAGCATTAATGTTCTTAAGCAACATTATCTTAAACTAATATTAGCTATTATAAGATGTAAAATTGAGTAGTTAACTTTTGCACACTTGTTACTGAGCCTTTGAAAACTTTGTATTTAAAGTGGTCATATTATGCTAATTTTCAGGTTCATAATTTTATTTAGGGGTTGTACCAGATCAGGTTTAGATGGTTTCAATTTCAAAAAACACCATATTTTTGTCATACTGCACATTGCTGCAGCTCCTCTTCTCACCCTGTGTGTCAAACGCTCCGTTGTAGCTATGGAGAGATACATCTCACCTCTACAAGAGCTTATTGGGAGTTGCACATGCGCATAACCTAGTTAAGGACTACTAGCCAATCAGAAGCAGACTAGAGCGGGTCGCGGGAAGCCGGTACACACGGCTTTGGTTCAGCTATATATGTTCATCTTACCAGTTTAGTAAGACTGGAGCAAGAGTTTCAGAGTGGTGAGTTATTAATCTGTAACAAATGTATAAATAACTCAATAAAGGAGAGGGGAAAAGCCCTAAAGCATAATATGACCTCTTTAAGATTTGGTTGCCTACATTTTGTCTTTTCAAATCAATAAACGATCCATGCCTTACACTTTACTTGTTAGACATTAACTTTCTCTGATGGATTGCCAGCAGTAAAGTTAGCCTAACTTTGAAGCTGTTCCTAATTTCATTATCACCTGTTCAGGATTCCAAACACACCTTTGTAAACTTGGAATTGACTTGATCCCGCCTGCTATATTCACCATAACTTAAAACACTACTAAGATCGCTTAATTAATTTCGTGCTGCCTTCATTACTTACTTTCTTCCATTTCCATCCAGCAAAGACAACCTGGAACACTGTCACATGATTAACCCTTCAGAATATAGTAGTAGGATGACATAAGTGTTAACACAGACACGCACACACGTATACACAATGATGGGCAAAGGACACACTCCACAGGGGGGAACATTTGACTTCTCAAAATAGCAGGAGGAACCATGTGACCTGGAAACTATTTCTAGTAATGTCCTTTTCTTAGACTGATCACATACACACAAACAGTGGCCTTGAAAGAGATAAGTCATTCTAGGCAGTGACACTGTAAATTAGTTTTCCATTCTGTGGGGTCACTGTAATATCAGCAGGGTGTCCAAGGTGAGAGTCAGTCTAGAATCAATGTTAATTGCTCCTATGTCATATACAGTGAAACATATAACAGTCCTCTGATTTGGTGTTTGGTTAGAAACACGTGACTTTAAGCCTCAGATGATTTATTTATTGTGTATGTACTGTATGTGTGTTTTTGTAGAAAGTGAACGGCTCTCCTTTCATGAGTAACGATGCAGGCTTTGCCTTGGCCTATGCTGTCATAATGCTGAACACTGACCAGCATAACCACAATGTTCGCAAGCAGAACATCCCCATGACTGTAGAGGTGAGTTATCTCTCTCATACACAAACTCACATGCACGCACGCGCACACACACACAGACGGGCCATTTTCTGCTGAACTTTCTGCTGAATAAGTAGTCCTTGATGAAAGCTTTGAACACTAGGTTTGTGGGTTGTCCAAAGTCACTGTTACATTGCTCCTGGAAAGAGACCTCTATGTTCAGTATTTCACTTGTCATTTTTTCAAAATAGCTGGGAAAAAAGCATTTTGCTTTGAGCAGCACAGATAAAAGTCCATTCACCTCCACTGTACAGGGTCTTGTTGCAAAACCGTGGTATAAAAAAACTAAAATCTCTGTCTCTCTTTGTTCCTCTCTCTTCATCTTCCGTCTCTGTTTTTTTTTTTTGTCTTTGATTGACAGCAGCCGAAGACTAAACAGTTTGTGGGTGGGCCACTCTCACTGATAAACAATAGCAAGGGCTTGCTTTCTCTTTCTTTCTGTCTCACCCTGTTTTATGTACACATTCTATGTAAAATTGACCTTTCTTGAGTCAAGTCATACATCATCATACAGCTGGTGTTGTATGTGTGTTTAAATTAGCTCTAACCTTTCCCAAACGGTCAGTAAAGACGGCTTGTTGACCGCCAGGATCAGACAATGAGCAGAGGCTTCCACACAATAGTTTGCAGAGGGCCAATAAAAGTGGCGCCTAGCACTTCAGTTACTTAGCAGCCTGCAATGTGTAGTATTCACCATAGCATGTGTTGGCAGTGGGGTTATTTTTGAAATGGCAAAACTATGCCCAGCATCACTGTGTGTAAATCAGATCCTATTTCCATGGATCTGACATTGAGAATTATTTTGTTCATAAAACACAGCATGCTGCTCGATTTAGCAGCATGTGTGTTAGCTATTGTTAAACCCTGCCTAGTCGAGGCATAAACCCGAGCCTTGAGGCTGTCAGTCAACACAGGGTGGTTATGTTTATTTACTAGAGGCCCTTGGCTCTAATCCCTGTTTTCCTAACTCTGCAACTAAAGCATATTAAGTAACACATAACAAGTGTGTTTCCACAAAAGGTTCTTAAAATTGTGGGTTGGATGCTCAGTTAACAACGCACTGAATGCCATAGGTCTGTGTGTTTGGAGTAAGCCCCTGTGTTGAAATGTACTGACTGATTTCTCCCAGAAGCAACACTGAGCACTGTTTTTTTTTTTTTTTTCTTTAAACAGCAATTCAAGAAAAATCTGAAGGGAGTAAATGGAAACAAAGACTTTGACCAGGACATGTTGGAGGATATCTACAATGCTATCAAGTAAGCTGCCTTGATTGATGAAAATATATGTGTGTATATACGTTTGTGTACATATATATGTATATATACCATACCAAGACAAAAAATTTTAAATGATGAGAAAGCTATTGTTGTTATCACTATTTTTCCAATAAATGTCCAAATCCATCAATTTACTAACCATTTCAACTCTATTGTCATGTACCTTGGTACTGACAGTAGAGCTGATTCATAAATGTATTATTTGATCATATTGTTCCCAATTCATACTTATACTCATTTTAATAACATTTAACATTGAGACGATTTCTTTTACGGCTGCCTGTGTTTAGACATTGTTTAAACTGGCAGTGCAGAACTTGTTTACACAAACAGCGTCGAAGCATGCTCATAACGCCTGATGACGCATGGTGCCTATAGGTGAGATCACCCCTTGCCTGTGTTCAGAAATAGTTACAAATACAGAGAAATGTCCACAGTTCCAAGACAATAATCCATTGTTTAGGTAGAGTAAATGTAACAGCCACATTAGTCTACTCCAAATATTTTACAAATAAGAACTTGTCCAAGAGCAGTAACAACACAGCGACATTGCGTCTGCATCAGTCCCAACCTGTCCTCCTTTCAGTTTTAATTCAATTGGCTTTATTGACATGACTGCAAACAATACAACATTGTCAAAGCATATTAACACAAACTACACAATCATAATAACCAAGCCTTTATTCTGATGTCAGTGAGCTGTTGTTACAGCTGAGATGTTTTGTTTCTCCTCTGTAGGAATGAGGAGATTGTGATGCCAGATGAGCAGACAGGGTTGGTGAAGGAGAACTATGTATGGAGTTTGTTGCTACACCGCGGCGCCACACCTGAGGGTGTTTTCCTCCACGTGCCACCTGGCAGCTATGATCATGACTTGTTCACCATGACCTGGGGTCCCACCATCGCTGCCCTATCTTACGTCTTTGACAAGAGCCTGGACGACAACATCATCCAGAAGGCCATCACTGGCTTCAGGTACACAAGTTCCAAATATTCAGCAGCTAAGGCAGATACTTTGAATAAGAATTTAAACATACATTCAATATGGTTATTTCAATGACACAGAATCAAGCCTTTCCTGAACCTGCTTAAATGAACACAGCACTCCCCTGGGCTGGCATTGGCCTCAGCTTCTAATTTTTGAAAATGGAAAAGCCACTCTGCTGGGAACAATGTCACATTTCTACTCAAGCATCCACAGAAACCTCTGCACTTGTTAACTGAGCGTCTGAGATTTAGGTGGATGAAATTGAATGAAATTCATCTACCCATGTTCAGCAGTATACCAGAGAGTTGCAGTAAAAGCATTAAAAATGCAGTATGGTGTATGATGTTAGGTTTGTTCTGAGATGTTAAGGTGTGTAGTCATATTTGTTTCTGTCTTTGCAGGAAATGTGCAATGATAGCTGCTCACTATGGCTTCAGTGATGTTTTTGACAATTTGATCATCTCTCTCTGCAAGTTCACCACTCTGAGCAGTGAGGTGAGGCCCTTTCATAAAAAGCAAACTCACAGCTAATGCGCTCCAGTTTGTCCTACCTATATAGATTGTGGATATCAAACTTCAGTTTGTAGTTAAAGCTTAACATATTGCAGTATAATTATTATTCACGTAAACAAAAAGACAAGATGCTCTCCTGAGCTAAAAAAAGGCACAGTATAATCATCCTTTACTGGCCAAGACTCGAAAAATGCTACACTTAAGAAGACTTTGAAAAAGCAAGATATAGAAAGAAAGATGATTTCTTTTATTTTGCTTTTTAAAAATCTAAAAAAAAACATGCATCGTCATACCTCTTCCTCTCCTAAACCCAATCCTTCGGTGAGTAGAGCTCAAATAATTATCACAAAAAATACAACAGCAACAACAAAAAAATTTAAAAAAACAAAACACATCTACATGCATGCACACCAATATACATATGAACAATACACAGACAGACACTGCTACCTAACAGAAAAAGGACCATTCATTGTTACTTATACCAAGCTCATGTTTCTTTTCTTTTTACATCTTTTGTTGTAGTAAAATAGAATATGTCATTAAATGGCAAAAGACAATGTTAAATTGTCACTGATTCATCATCAGTATTTTATAATATGTTCCATGTAATTAAGTTCCATGCCATCCTATTCAGTTGGCTATTTACATACATACATATGCAACCTAATGTAATGAAGACTTCTTTTTAAGGGAGAGACATTTCTAATCACGAGAATGTACAGGCTTGGAAACCCAGTTTAGCTTCTGGGACAATAAAGACATTCATTTATTTAACACAGACTGTAATTTAATGAAAGTAATGATGTGGAGTATGTAGACAGTATTCTATCCTGATCGTGTTAGGAAAGACATGTACATACAGGAACTGTCTAAGTGTTTCTTCACTGAGTGTTGTTGTGGCCCCTCTGCAGTCTGTGGAAAACCTTCCTACAGTGTTTGGCAGCAACAGTAAAGCACAGAGAGCAGCCAAGACGGTGTTTGACCTCGCACATCGGCACGGCAATATCCTGAGGGAGGGCTGGAAGAACATAATGGACTCAATGCTACAGCTGTTCAGAGCCGAGCTCCTACCCAAAGCCATGGTTGAGGTCAGGACTTCATTTCTAAACCCAAACACTCTTTTTCCATTGATCCATCCATCCAGTGATTGGATCCTGTCTGCTTTGTGATAATGCTCCAGATTCACTCTTTGGGTTTTAGTTTCTGTTTGATGAAAGAGACTCCATGCTACATGTTCTGCTTCCACCTACTGTTGAGTGCTCAGACTCTATCCTTGTTGCCTTAGGTGGAGGATTTTGTGGAGCCAAATGGAAAAATTTCACTTCAAAGAGAGGAAACGCCTTCAAATCGGTATGCCCAAATCTCACCTTCCTTCTGTTGATATAGTAGCATAAGGAGCTGATAGGATCATGTTGTCAAGGGATCACAGTATGATATTTTTGACATATAGCTACACTCTTGTTTGTGTCATGACTCTAGCCCCCTTCCCTTTCATTAAGTACTAAGTAATCCTGACCAAGAGGGCCAAAAGTGAAACCTTTCTTCCTCTGTTACTGTCAGAGGTGAGTCGGCAGTGTTGAGCTTTGTCAACTGGTTGACGCTGAGTGGAGCTGAGCAGTCAGGACTCAGAGGGCCGTCCACGGAAAACCAGGAGGCGAAGCAGGCCGCCATCCTCTGCATAAAGGTACTGATAGACTGTCCCACAGATAAGAAGAGACTGATAGAGTTCAACACTCAACACTATCGGAAGTTCTGAGTTAAGATGGTAAAATTAATTAAAATGTTTTTAATTTAAAACATGTATCTGTTATGGTATCCTCATGTTACAATTTTTTAAATAAATACATTTTATAGTCATTAGAGGTCTCATGCTGTCAGCAGGTTTCTTGATGCATGATCACTATTAATTTGAAATACCTGAGTACCTGTAATTACTAGTCTGTCCAGAAATAGATTAAAACTTTCTGGCTAAAGCCTGAAATACACTCAACTGATGATTGGAAATACACCATTTTGACAGAATGACTTTCTCTCAAGACTGCAACTGGACATGTTTGTTCTTTAAAGTAAACGTATGTAGGAAAGTATTAGGAATTGACCAACCTGTAAAAATTTTATCGTTACCATGTATAGTTCTGTTACTTTCTTTCATGCAAATAAAAGCATGGATAGTGAAGGTTTTTGTGGTTTGTTTTAATGACTGCATTATTTGTCCAATGCCTTGTCTAACCTAAATATCCAAATCAAAATATAAAGAAAGTGTAAATAGAACTATAGTTGTATTATAGACTAGCTTTACCTGTGTTCTACCTAGTTCTTTAGTTCTATTTTTACATTGCTTCTAAAGTACTTGAGCTGTTTCAAGCTTTTGCATTTGACAGTAGTACTTTGTATACTCTGTTAAAGCAATAGAATTTTTGTGGATTCTCATCACCTCTTCAGGTCTGTTTCTCTGTGTAAAATGTGTCAACATCACTGACTTTTCTATTTCTTTCTTTCTAGCAATGTGACCCAGAAAAGCTGATAACAGAGAGTAAATTCCTACAGCTGGAGTCTCTACAGGAGCTAATGAAGGTTATTAATATTTCTGGCTAACATTTCCTATGATTTAAAAAATGTATGCCGTAATATTTATTACGGTATGAATATAATATTAGAGCTGGGCAGACTAACGCGTTATTATTACGCCGACATGTTAACACAGTTTTTATTATTATTATTTTGAAAGTCCGTTGCTCACTGGCTCTGAATACACATACAGTCAAACCATGGGTCACAGGAGGGGCAGGATGTTGATCAGCCTGTGATTCACCCACCCAAACAAGCAGTGGAGGGAGGCTTCGGCAGACTACGCTGGATGCGGCGTGTGGGAGAAGTAGATAAACAAAAGCAAGACAAGCGATCAAATGCCATAGCAAAGTGTAAAGGGAATAGTGCTTGTAATTTGTTTAAAGTGTTTGCACATGTTATTGCACTTTTCTGTATATAGCAGTACATTTAAATTAAAAGTGCGCAATACACTACTTTAGAATTCATTATTCAATTTAGCGATCCAATTTTTTATATATATATAGCTTATACTCGTCTTTTCGTGTATTGACTTCGTGATTTTAACTGCCTGGGTAGAAGTATTTGCTCAAAGTTCTTGCAGGCTAGTTTGGATAAATGCATCTAATAGAAGCAGTTTTCACAGTCTCATTAAAAGCACTAACGTTAGCTTGGACACCTCATTTACCGGTTACGCTCAGAAAATGAAAGCTTTAGCTTACCCAAAACAGCAGAAACGTCAGATGGGTCAGACCACCGTGCTTAACTAGATATAAATGAAAGAAATTGTTGATCAAATCAACTTCCGGTCATCTACCCGGAAGTGACTGTTGTTAGCACAATATCACAGTGATTCTGTTTATTAGCTCATAGTTCATCCACAAAGACAACAAATCAAACTAGATTCTCCTCCTCAGGCTCTGATATCAGTCACGCCAGATGAAGAGACTTATGATGAAGAGGATGCGGCCTTCTGCTTGGAGATGTTGCTGCGGATTGTTCTGGAGAACCGGTAGGAAGGAGAATCTGTCAGTGATACCTTCACAGCACAGTGACTTTTTAGTCATTTGTAACCAAAAGAACATGTCGTTCTCTGTTTCTGTGTAGAGACCGGGTAGCATGTGTGTGGCAGACAGTGTGTGACCGCCTCTGCCATCTTTGCGTCCATGCCAGTGAGAGCTGCTTCCTAGTGGAGAGGGCTGTGGTGGGACTCCTTAGACTCGCAATTCGATTGCTACGACGAGAAGACATTAGCTCTCAGGTACATCAAACACAGACATACCTGGACACAAACACACTGCAGCAGAGTTCACAGGCCAAGATAATAATGTCAGATCAACAGACTGTCCCATTGGTTAGATTGAAAGGTCAGCTTAAAACCACACAGCTGATTGGTGCTTTAGCTAGAGGATAGCCATGTTAGTATTACACATTCATGCTGCCAGAAAATACTCCATAGAGAAAAGGACGAAGACAATAGTGGGGGGGGTTTGTTTGAATTGTGGACAAATATACAGTCTTGCCTTCTAACAGGTGAATATTTTAATGGCACAACAACCAGAAATGGGACACACTCAGACAGGTGCAGGTGCAGTTGATGTTCTGCTTTGAGTTTAAAACATGTTTCACCAGTCACTAAGCTATTCTTACCTTCAGTCTTTTAAGTCAGGGGGTCACTGACAATATGGATGAAGCATGTTATTATGTTTACTTTGATGATCTCAGAATTACAGGTGTTGAGGTTTTGTGTCCACCCTACTTTTACAATTGGAACACCTGCTTCACACTAATGTAAGGAAAAGTCCTCCCTCTTGTCTAAACAAAAGACTTTGTGAGATGATGTAGATTGTGTACTGATAAGCACGTAATTTAATGCTGACCTGACCTCAGATTAGGAGGTTGGCCTACATTTAAGCCCCATGATCTAATACATCTCAACATTGTTTTTGTTAATTAATGCTTTTAGAAAGGTTGTTGTGATTAAACTCTCCATGACTCATTATTGTAATTGTTTTCTACTTTGTCACATGCTATTTTAAATCACACTAGCCTGTTCTCACAAATGATTTGAGTGGTGCATGTTTCTATGTCAAGTCAGTTATTAATGGAATTACAGCAGAAATCCTCCATGCCTTTTATATAAACAACTTTTTACATATTTATTTCAGAAATGATTGCTTAGGGAAGGACAATGTTTGTGACCATGAATGTAGCCCTTAAAATATACTGAGTAATAAAGACAAAAAGGTTAAAGAGAAAACATGGAAATGTGAATGACATTTTATGAATTTGAGGCTTTTTCTGGCAAATATATTCTAGAGTCAGGAATATCAGAGAAGTTCACAATTGGGCCTCTCTGTAAGAGTAGTGTTCAGCCCAACTGATTTTGAAACTAGATGATTCACAAGCATTGACGTTTTGTTATATCAGCCAATCCTTAAAACTCCCCAAATCACTACTTTTATATTCACCATGGAAATGAAGATTACAGCTAGCTGAAATGGTACAGGATATCCTCCCAGCAGTTTTCATTTTCAGAGATGACAGAGTAAAATTTTAGTAAAGGTTCCTTGTTTCATTCAATGTTTTTTTCAGGAGGAAGTGCATCTCTGGCTCAGCTTACTACTACTATTACTTGTCCTCGGTGACATGAACATTAACTTGGACAAATCAAACTCAACAGTCTTCCTTCCACCAAGCCTGCCTACCCGAACCAGTCCCACCCATGCCTAACTGATACCATCCGTGGGCTCCGCACTGATCTCAGAGCTGCTGAAAGAAAATGGCCCTGCCAACCTTAAGGGCTACCAACTGCTCCTATTCTCCTTCTCAACAAGCATAAGTGCTGCCAAAACTGCGTTCTGTAATGACAGAAAAAGCAGTGCCACTGACTCAAGGAAATTATTTTCCACTTTTAAAACGCTACTAAATCCTCTTCCACCTCTTCCACCCACAAACTTGTCTGCTGATATCTTTGCTGCCTTCTTCACAGGCAAAGTGGCGGCTATAACTAGCCAATTCTCTAAATCTCTCAAAATCAACCGTTCTATTTCACCCCTGGTCAGCTCCCACTGTGTGAGCCGTGCAGGAAAACCATGTAGCAGTCCTACTGCATCTGTTCCTCTACCCTCCCAGGACAATGGCACTTCACTCTTCCGACCACTTTTAAAAGGGCTCAGGTTACACCCTTGCTTAAACAGCCCTCACTCGATCCAACTTATGTTGGCCAGTTTCTCTTTTACCATTTTTATCCAAAACTATCGAACGGGCAGTATTCAAACAGGTCTCAGAATTCCTCTCAAGGAATGACCTCCTAGATCCATATCGGTCTGGTTTTAAGAGTGGCAACTCTACTGGCTCTTTTGTCCGTAACAGAAGCCTTAAGGTCAGCTAAAGCTGCAGCCCAGTCCTCGGTTCTTATCCTGCTTGACCTATCAGCTGCCTTTGACACAGTCAATCAAATGATCCTCCTATCCGCACTCTCAGCAATGTGCATCTCAAGTAAAGCACTCCTGTGGTTCGAATCCTATCTCTCGGGGTGTTCCTACAATGTTTTGTGGCAAGGACAATTATCCTCCTCCCATTGCCTCTCCACAGGGTTACCCCAAGGCTCAGTGCTAGGGCCCCTTCTCTTCTCAATTCACACCACCTCGCTGGGGCCAATCATTCGCTTGCACGGCTTCTCTTACCACTGCTACACAGACGATACGCAACTCTACCTATCCTTCCCGCCAGGCAAGCCTCGGCGCGGATCACGGACTGTCTCTCGGGCATATATGCATGGATGAAGGCTTGCCACCTTCAACTAAACCTCTCTAAGACTGAACTCTTGGTTATTCCAGCCAAACAATCTATCCACCATAACATCAAACTTCAAATTGGCTCCTCAAACATCACTCCAACAAGGGTGGTGAGAAACTTGGATGTCATGATTGATGACCAGCTGTCCTTTTCAGACCATGTTGCTACTGTCTCTCAGTCGTGCCGCTTTGCGCTATATAACATCAGAAAAATCAGGCCCTACCCAGAAGCTGGGTGGCAGCTTCTGGTACAGGCCATGGTTACCTCTCGCCTCGACTACTGCAATGCCTTCTTAGTGGGTCTTCCAGCTTGTGTGGTGCAACCCCTACAAATGGTTCAGAACGCAGAAGCGCGTCTGGTTTTTGATCAGCCCAAAAGGACGCATGTCACTCCATTGCTGTGTAACCTCCACTGGCTACCCGTGGCCTCCAGAATCAGGTTCAAGTCACTAATGCTTGCATACATAGTGACTACTGGGTCTGCACCCATCTACTTAAACTCCATAATACAAGTTTACGTTCCTTCTCGGCCACTACGCTTCTCCAACGAACGCCGCCTGGTTCTGCCATCCCTTCACACAAAGCAATCCCAGTCCCGGCTGTTCTCACCTGTGACACCACGATGGTGGAACGAGCTACCACATGCCATCAGAGCAGGGGCGTCCCTCTCTAACTTCAAGAACCTCTTGAAAACTCATCTCTTCCGAGAACACTTCCTCTTATAACACTTCTAACTCCTAACATCTAACATGCACTTCCTGTGCTCTTCTTCCTCTATCCCCTACAATTACCTCTTATTGATTGCACTTTTTGTTAACTCCAACTTCTTTCCCTAGGTATTTACCCCATTGATGCAATATGTTCCATTAGCGCTTACTAGCATTTATTGCTGCTTTTATTAATATGTATTGTCAGTTGCAGATCTTGTGCTGTATTTTATGCTATGTTAATGCTTGTATGTTGTTCCTCAAATGTAAGTCGCTTTGGATAAAAGCGTCTGCCAAATGAGTAAATGTAATATAAAGCCTCACGTGTCCAACACTGACCACGTATTCTGTTTTCTTTTGGTTGCCATGATGTTCTGTGTCTTCCTGTTCCCCCGCAGGTTCTCCTCTCTTTGCGTCGCCTGCTGATGATGAAACCTCATGTCTTGTCCCGGGTCAGCAGGGAGGTGGCCTACGGCCTTCATGAGCTGTTGAAGACTAACGCAGCCAACATCCACTGCACAGACGACTGGTACACACTCTTCTCCCTTCTGGAGTGCATCGGCGCCGGAGTAAAACCTCCTGCCTCTTTCCAGCTCACCTCCATCACTACCGACAATGACACAGGTTTAGTATTTCTGTCAGAATCTTGACGTGGGTCAGGTTGGCAACACCTGGTGATTTTACACTGATGAGCCCATATTAAACTTAGGACAAGCCCATTATCGGTAATAATGAATTCTTCATATTAAAATATGGATTTTTTTCTCTTGATGCATTTCCTTCAGCTCTTTACAGTTTAGTTTATGTTTAGGTGCATGTCATCCCCTGAAAGATTTGGAAAGGATTTGAAAAATACCTTTGAATTGTAAGAGGAGCTTGCTTTAAAGTGATTGTCCCAAAAGTTGTTCAAAGTTGTTGTTTTTGATGTAAGACAAGCTGTTAAACGTTCACCAAACAACAACTAGAGAATAAACTGAGAATGAAAAAGTGACATTATTTAAAAACAGATTTTTGTCTTACTAGTTTTCAGTTATTCAAAGTTAACAGTTTTAGATTGTTTTGGCCTGCTTTGTGTCTCCAGGAGCCCAGTCAGATAGTGAGCTGTCATCTCATCATCCCAGTGAAGTGAGTGTAGACCGTGGCTACACATCTGACTCAGAAGTCTACACTGAGCACAGCAAGTCCAGGATCCCTCGCTCCACAACAGACGTGGATGTAGCAAGCAGTGGATGGCTCATGGTCAGCTGAGACACACGCACATCCTCACACATGAATGAATACTCGGGGCGTCAACTACGTGGCACCCAGCAGCCCCACCCCCCCTCACTACGACATCTCTCCATACCTGAATGCATGTGTATAGGTCCTGTTTGTGCATGTGTGTATTTCGGACCTGTGTGTATAATAATAACAGAGTGAAAACATTGAATTTCCCCTGTCGTCGTCTTCTACTTCCTTGGCGCCCCCCCTACTTTTATCTAAGAAAAGCCGAGCCCCCCAACAGCTGACAAAACATGCACACAGAAAAAGATGATGTAATTACTTACCAATAGCGAACAAATGGAGTCAAATGACACCTCAATGCCAGCTCTTGGTTGGCCTTCACCAACAATCTCCTGGTTTCTTGGTATTGTTTAACACCAAGAAAAGGGGTTAATAAGGTGTAATATTTACAAAAAATAGGCCTACAGCTTGCATATGTTTTCAACATATACTCTACTTGGGTGGGCCGGACAGGTATAGTTGCACCTGCCAAAGTATATTTGGCAACCAGCTTTAGCATTTTGCAGAGAAACTGGGAGGGAGAGGTTATCTGGTATTATGTCGACGGACATGCAGCAAATGTTACATTACGGAGCGACAGTGAACACACCACTGCAGATGTCACTCACTAACATTGAGTTTCACTTTTGATCCACATGCGGCACACTTGAAAACTCAGTCACTGGTGAGTTTATTAAACAAACACGGCGACTTTATGAAACGTACTGCTGATGGAGAAAGTCAGCTGAGACACATACAGGCAGAGAGAGGCAAAAAGAGGCGGACCCAGCCTGCGTGTTTGCCGTGAGAGACCAGAGATGCAGGCTAGGTGTGTGAGTGTGTGGAGAAGAGCAGAGGAGCAGATTCAAGTAAATAAACACTAAACTATAAGGTGGAAAATGACATACATTAACCTACTGTTAATACAAATAGCCTACAATATACACCGCTACCGAGCCCACCCTCCACCGGCCGCGGAGGATCGTGGTTTGCGATTTTGGTTGGTTTGAAGGGACATCCTTCAAGTCAGGGTGTGCTGCATCCGTGTATTCGTTGTGCGTTCTGTCATTTTGAAGGGAGTTAAGCACAGCCGTTGAATAGTACATCTCAGTATGAAGCATGTCTCTTCCTTTTGCCAGTTGGTGGTGCTATCACTATGATTGGATTATAGGTGCGTTTGACTTCATGCTGCGCAGCACTGACATAATGTGATGCATGCTGGACTTAACATATAAGGTATGCTGGTTAGAAATTGTGTGTGCCGGCGCTGCAAAACGTGACATTAAAACCTCGCGGGAGCAAGGCGGCTGCAGGCAGAGTCTTGCTTTTCCCTGACTGAAGTTGGAACCATACTTTTGCCTGGCAATTTCCTTTGCAAATGGCGCAAGATCAGTCATTGATCTCAGCTCACAGTAAGCTTACGCAGATAGAATGTGTCCAACTTGACGGAGCCGTTTTTATTCCCCGCCCCTGCAGTCACCTGCAGCTCACGTTAGACTATCAAGTCGGCAAAGTCAGCCGCCGTCATCTCGAACACACCTATTGTCATGTAGATGTCTTCAGGGCGGGACTTGAAGTTAACACAGCACATATCACACAGGTGAAGTGGGGAAATATCTGACAGTGTGTGGTTGATGTGTCAGTTACTTATTCAATTCAAAGTGTGGAGCATATATTCCTCACTATGGACATTTTGGTCCTTAAGGTGCTATGTTGGGTAAAAACATGATCGATGGACGTTTTTTGTCCCTAAGGCTCCACGTGGGGTAAATGAAGGGACCAAAACAAAGTTTGAAACATGTCCTTTCCTGATGGCAGTAAGTGTCGCTATCACTATGACTGGATATTGACATGTAATCGGGCTAAAAACCGTGTAGTGTGAACTAGGCTTAAGTCTCTTAGGGGTTGACATGTGATTTTGGGACAGATCTGACCATGTTTAGTCCATTTACATGCTCCTTCCTTTTTCATGGCAAATCATCAAAATTGAACGCCACGCCATGGACACACCGTTTAATCAATCGAAAAAAGCAATTTACCATCACAAGGCCCGTAAGGACAGGCTGTCCACATTTGAAGTCCATCGGGTTAAAGCTGTAGAAGGAGTTTGTACAGTAGTACGGTACCTATAAATGGAGGAAGATCAGACATTCAATTCAATATGGCTGACTTCCTGTTGGGTTTAGCATATGGCTCCAAGAGACTTTTCTTTGAGTCCCAGCATTCTACATGTGCTTACAAAATTTGGTAGCTCTAGGTGTAACAGACAGCTGGGGCTGCTCCTTTGAAATCTTGTAGGGGGCGCTATAGACCAGTTTTTCCACACACATGCCCCATGACAACAGAAAACACCCATTCTGATGTCTGTGCAAAGTTTTGTGAGATTTCAAGGCATCCTAAGATTCTCAAAATACAGCTTCCTGTTTCATGGTGAATAATGTGTTGCCATGGCAACACCATTTGACATTAACTCACAAGCTTGACAACCTTACATCATCTAGGTCTTAAGGCTTTTTTGAGACAGTTTTGAGCCAAATTGGATTATCCTGCTAGGAGGAGTACCGCAACAAATAAAACATGTTGCCAGTAGGTGGCGCTTTCAGTACGACTGGATATTGGCATGTAGATGTCTTCGGGGTGGGACTCTTCTCAAATGTGAAGTTTGGGGCCGATCTGACCACGTTCAGGCTATTTACACATTATTTCCTTTTTCATGGCGAATCATCAAAATTGACTCCCACGCCATGGACACCCTGTTTGATCAATCAAAAAAAGCTTTGCAATTTAACATCGCAAGGCTCTTGGGATGGCACAGCCTACATTTGAAGTCAATCTGATCAAATCCCTAGGAGGAGTTCGTGAAAATACGGAGGGTGTAAATGGAAAATCCTCACACATTCAGTCCAATATGGCTGACTTCCTGTTGGGTTTAGGGTATGGCTCCAAAAAATTTGTCATTTAGCTGATGCTTTTATCCAAAGTGACTTACAATTGCTATATGTGTCAAAGGTTGCACGCCTCTGGAGCAACGAGGGGTTAAGTGTCTTGCTCAGGGACACACTGGTGGACATGTTACATTGGGAATCAAAGCCAGGTCTCCCACACCGGAGGCATGGGTCTTATCCACTGTTCCCTTTATCACATATAAACCAAATTTTAACATTAACAATAAATGTTATTTCTATAGAACATTTGAAAATAAAAACAAAGTCAAGAGGTGGTTATATGAAGGTAAAATACGTTACAAAAAAATCTATAAAGACCTGTATTTTCTCATGTCCTATTTTTAACAATACTGTATAATATAAAATATTGCATTGGTGTTTGATCAAGTCCTGATCCTGTGATTTTTTTTTTTTCCAGGTTGGGAAAGATGACTTGGAGACAAGTAAGATCCCTCCAGTAAGCTCTAAAGCTCACCTGAATCACCCTTTGGTCAACCAGTACAGTCTGACGCTGGGCCAGGACCTGGGCCAGCACGACACCAAGTCTCTCATCAAGTGTGTGGAAACGCTGTCTTTCGTAGTGCGCGACGCTGCCCATGTCACCCCTGACAACTTTGAACTGTGTGTTAGAGCTATACGAGTGTTTGTGGAGGCCAGCCTCAATGGAGGTGAGACACTGAAATACATTTTTAACTTCATAGGAGCTACTTAAAAGACCTAGATCTAATAAGTACTTCAGAGACTAAGATGATAGATGACCAAAAAGATGACCACAGATGTGTAGTACATCAGGCTCTAAGCACTAGTGTGTCCACTCAGCCTGCTTCTCCACTGAAAACTTGTTTCTGCTTGCCTAATTAAAGGGGTACTCCAGTGATTTAGTATTGCATGTCCATGAAATTGGGGGATTTGTGAGAGTAATTATAAATCAAAATCAAGTTGTGGGCTTAAAAATGTGCAGTTTCCTTCAGAGCCACAGACGACACAAGTCACGAGTAAACTGATCCTGATGTGTAATTAAGTCCTTAATTCAAATGTATATTTCATTGCTTGACCATGTTGACATGGTATGGAGTATAAGCAACCTGTAAACACAATAATGACAAGACAATGTTACAGAAATCATCGATTTGTCATTCTCTCTCTACTTTCCTTAAAACTGCAGTATTTTCAGTTTCTAATGGTTTGCACAAGTTGTTCCAGGCCAGAGAACTATCTGAGAAAGAGTAGCAGCATGTAGAAACTTTTGATTTAAACCACAGTGATCCGATACCCACCACTGTGACACATACATGTGTTTTTTTCTCCTTCATGTTTCCACCTCAGTGTCCTGGCCTACATTCTTCTTCTTCCTCTCTCTGTCCTTTATCCTCCTTGTCGTCTGCCCATCAAACCTCATCTTCCTGTTTTCCATTTATGCCTCCTTGGGCTGTGTATGGTCTATAGTAAGACAGGGATTAGGTTTGAGAAATTGTAGTTGTGCATTTGAACTTTGGCATAGCTGATGGCCTATTAATTTCCTCCTGGCACTTCAGGCCACTGGATACATGCTGTCAGCAGAGCTTTACACAGACCAACAAAAGCGATGGGTCGATCAAAGCACAGGGCTGAGGATGGCGTTAATCTGTATGAGATACTAATAGAAAGTGCAAAACCTGTTATTACTCTATTGAGCTTTTGTAGAAGGACTTCATAATGTTTTGTTAAAGGTGGTTTCAAGATAAATGGAATGTTTTGGACATGGCCCACAGCTCCGTGGTTGTTTTGAGGATCAGGCCATCTTCGGTGTAATTAGTTCACAAGCTTTTTTGGCATGATAATGGACAATACCACATAACACAAGGGAATGGGCAACAGCTGCATGCCAGTAAGAACAGGCTGTAGTGAACACATTCTGTTTGATGTTTGTTATTACCATTACTGAGTCTTTTGTTACAGATCCAAGTGAAGACTAAAGAAAGAATCAAAGTTTAAACATTATAGTTGGATCGCTTATGTGAGGCTAAAACATATCTACCATGTAACACATGGTGCTGGGGGCGGTTCACCTACTCTGCACAGGAAAAAACTAGACACTGACCGAGAGCAGTACCACTTTGATCTGCTACAGAAAGTCCAATGAAATGCACAGTGCCAATAGAGCTACAACGATTAATCGATTAGTCAGTTGAAAGAAAATGAATCAAACTATTTTTTAGGCAAAAATGTGAAACATTTGCTGGTTTCATCTTGTTAAATGTGAGGAATTGCTGCTATATTTTGTCATTTATGGTAGTGAAATGAAGAATCTTTGGCTTTTGGATTGTTGGTTGGACAAATAAAGCAACATCAAGACGCCACTTTGTGCTATGGAAAATTGAAATGAGCATTTTTCACAGTTTCCTGAAATTTTATAGACTAAATGATTAATCAATGAATCATGAAAATAATTGACAGATTAATCAATAATTAAAATAATTGTTATTTTCAACCCTAGGTGCTCCCAGTGCTTTTCCTCCCCAGTCAAAGAGGTGGTATTCTGCTCATTTTCAGGTTCAAAATCCTATTTAGGGGTTATACCAGAACAGGTTTACATGGTTTAATTTTCAAAAAAAAATTTGTCATACTGCACATTGCTGCAGCTCCTCTTTTCACCCTGTGTTGAATGCTTCGTTTTAGCTATGGAGTGATACATCTTGTCTCTACATCATCTTTGTTGGAAAAATTCCTAGTTAAGGACTGCTAGCCAATCAGAAGCAGAAAAGGGCAGGTCAGCGAAAGGCTGGTAATAGCCAATCAGAAGCAGAGAAAGGCGGGTCAGCGAAAAGACGGTAAACAGCTTCGATTCAGCTGTAGGCTACATGTTGCCGACCAGGTTGGCAATTTGGACTGGAGCAAGAGTTTCAGAGTGGTGAGTTATTAATCTGTAACAAAAGTATCTTTCATCCATAAAGTTTTAACTGAGCTCTGTCTCTACATCACAGTAACAACTTTATGTCCACTGACTGCCTGGAGGGTAGCTAGTGTTTGGAAGGGAGAGGAGAGGTGTGCTGCAGCTCAGTGTTTTTCCACTGGTGTTTTTGAGGGCGTGTCAGACTAATCGCTCGGTGAGCATTATGACACGTGTTTACTTGTGAAGTCACAAGAAAGGGAAGTAAAGGCTGGACTACAAACGAGCTGTTTTCAGGCAGTTCAGAGCAGAGTTTTCTGTGGGAGATGGGAACTCCCTTTGGGCTGGACTTTGGGCTTTTTCACTTTGCAAACCTGTTACATGCACAAAAAAGATATATAACTCAATAAAGGAGAGGGAAAAAGCCAAAAACCATAATACCACCTCTTTAACAGACCTCACCTCAGTTAAACATGTTGGGGAACACTTGAAATCACAAAAGATTAGTGATGCTTTTGCAACGATAGAAGAATGTAGATTCTCAAATGTTGCCTGATCTTGAACAGTCAGTGCCACAGTTCTGGCAATCAACGGACATATCAAATCATTTCATGGGTCACCTTAAGTGGGCATCCCTCAAACCCCCAAAAACCAAGACTACTTCTGCCTTAGGTTACCGCAACCATGACAAAAAGAAGAGCCACAAGTACGATAAGTCCAGGATGAGGAAGAAGGCAGGGGGAAGGGAGAAGGAGGCTGGAGGTGGCACAAGGCGAGGTGGCAGCCGGGCGTCCAGCCAGCGTCCATCACGTTCCCACAGCGACGACGAGGAGGACGAGGGGGTCCCGGCCAGCTACCATACTGTGTCATTACAGGTTAGTCAGGACGTAAGTACAGCAGCACTCTTTACCCTTCTACCTTATGTTGATTTGAGTCCAGTGTCTGTTTCTTATTCAGTGTACAGTAGGTTCTAGGTGTTTGGGTAAACGTTGTTCAGGATACAGTGATTGTGGCATCAAGATGTTTTTGGGAACCCATGGCTTTGGCTCCCAGAGGGACATTTAGGATGGTTGTAACTTTATACGATGACTATAACGAAAAGGTTGCACAGTGACACTACAGCTGTCATGTGGAACAAAGTAGCATTTAGAATCTTGTTAGTATTTGAGCAAGACATTACACCTCTCCTGGTAGTATCCCAGTTATCCTGTGTTTCTGGTTGGGTGTTGGCTTGGGTGGTAATGTAAGATTAAAGCATAATACTAGTGTATTTTTTTCCCCACACTGTTTCTAAACTACTGTTTCCTTTTCCATGTCACTGTTCAAAATGTTAGCCAGGACTGCAGAGGCAAACCTCAATATACTGTGAATTTAACTCTAACTGTAAAAGGGTCAATGACATATAAAGCTTATAAAAATGTATTTTTTAAAAGTATTTTCAAAAAGGATATAATTTATATTTTTTAAATTAGAACAATGTGTATAAACAAGTTTTATTTGTTAAATAACATTTCAAAGTGTTTAAATACAATTGTTTTACTTTTTTTTACTTCACAGCCCAAACAATTTCGCGCAACCAAATATTTGTAACAATATGTAAAATGTATTTTCCTACTATTCATTCTAAGTTATAGCTTTGGCAAGTATTCCCTAGAGTGTCTATAGGCTTAAGAAATTACTTGTGCTTTTGTATTTACAATTATCTAAGATTATTGCATTCTAGAGGCCAATTATTTAGTATCTTTAGCATCCAATTTTACATTTATTGATGGAAAAATAAGTATACAAAAATACAAATTAACGTTTTTAATACAGTATCCATAATCATCATTGTTTTAAACCATATGTTCGCTGTTATTTATCAGTTTAAATCAATATTTTAGCTGGTCGCACCTATTGACAATTCAGTTGCGCCACCTGACAACATATTAGTAATGACAGCGAATATACTGAAAAATTGCAATTTTCTTTCAAGTACAAAAAAGGTGTTTTAGTCAACAGTCTCTATTGAAGTAATGAACTGATTAAAAACAGGATACATGATATCACATTCAGTTAAAACAACTAGGCTACAGTGCAGTGGATACACTGTATCAAGTTGTAATCGAACAACAATATTTTTAATGTTCCTCTCCCTGTGCTTTCACTGGTTTTGCTTCCACTGTTGCCTCACTTTTTGCTGTTCTGTTCTGGACCGCTGGCTAATTGGGAGTTTCATAGTTTTCCCTCTATCTTCCTCCTCAGAAATCTATAAATAGGGATGTTTGATCACTTTTTTTGCCCCTGATCCGAGTCATTTAATATTTAGTATCTGCCAATTCCAAGTCCCGATCAGATACTTGTATTTTACTAGATAGTACAGTTGCACAGTGTACACATCAGGATGGAATTAAATTTCTCTATCCTTAAAAGTATCCTCGTGTTGCTTTGGGGCAGCTTTGGATTGAGTTACCTGAGTGAACTCACTGTTTAGTGTTGTGTTTAATGTCTGTTTAGTGTTCATTTTTTAGGTGCCTTATTAAATTGGTAGTAATGAATGCAGCTCCTTTGAAGCTAGTAAACACAATCTATTCTCATGAAAGAGAGTGTAAAACATTCTTAATTTAAAACAAATTTTTAAATTTTAACTATCAATCCAAACATTAGTCACTTTAGAATAACTTTCCTTGCAGTTGCGCCACCTGACATACTGGTTGCACCACCTGACTTTACAACTTATTTCCAATGAAACGGGCCTATAGTATGAAACTTGTATTAACTTTTTTTGATAGCAAGTTCATACATATATTGTTTTGATTAAATAAATGGTTTTATGATAAATTAATCATTTTCAAGTTGGTTGTACCACCTGACATGGAAAGTGAACCAGTCTGACTATAAATTAAACAGGTATTTTTATCATTATTTGAAAGGGATTTACAAACCTTTTCACTCAGACATAAAGGTTAATTGGGGTCCTCTGGATGATGCAATAACCTGTTACTGTTAATAAATTTTCACTTAGGAATAAATGCCCCATGCTTATGGTTGTGCCACCCTGACAATTGAAAACATGCAAATTGCTGGACAGAAGTTTTTCAATTATCTCTATTGGTACTTCTAAAATTTGGTTTATTTGAAAGGTTTAAAACATAACATACCTGACATTTGGGGAGTTTTAGATGCCAGAACATAAAATAATATATATCATTATAATGTTGTGAAAATGTATTCACACAAAATGGGTTTTGTAGAATAAAGTGATATATGTCGTGAATTGATTAAAATTATTTTAACAGAAAAGAATTCACTCGGACACAAAAAATGCTTGTCATGTCATTGATGTCAAGTACTGCTGTATATGAAGGGTGGAAGGCAGTTCTTTGTAATGGCATCATGGTGACAAACATTGAGGTTGTTAGTATATGGACTGAGCTATATGTTTAGTCCATATGTTTATATATTTCTTATATATTTGTATATTTGGATTCAAAGGAAAAATTAAACTGACATGAAATCTACATGCTTGTATTTGCATTTGTTGGGCAGCATACAGTATTACACCAGTGTAATCCTTTAATTTGTGTTGTGGGGGAACATGACAGTGCTGTGAATCTTTTATTTTCCCTTTCTACACAAACACACAGACAAAGCACTCCTTTTTCTACTCTACAGTATATGATCTGGTTGAGAGATCCGTATACTCTGTATATCCTCCTCTGGTGATAATGAAACATCCTCTCATAAGTTTCTTGAAAATGTAAATTAATCTTGTGGAAGCTATTCTTCATTTATAACTGACATGGATTTAAAGTACTTTTTTAAGACATGATCATCTTTTTAAAAGAGGGTTGTTTTCCATATATATCCAGTATTCATTTTGCTTCATTTGTCACTGTGGCATCATTGCACACCGTTTGCAACAACATTTAGTTTTGTACTGTAGATATACTTCCAGCCATATTTCCTGTTATTGTTAACACTGGTGTTGGTGTGTGTGACTGTGCAGCTTTTAGACCTGATGCACACACTGCACACCCGGGCTGCCAGCATCTACAGCTCCTGGGCAGAGGAGCAGCGCCATCTGGAGGCTGCAGGCAGGAAGATTGAGGCCGACTCCCAGACTCTGTGGACCAGTTGCTGGTGCCCGCTGCTGCAAGGTAGGCCCTTACCACAACACACATCTAAAACAGCTCTTGGAAATTGTACCTTAATTAAGCTTATAATGATCATTTTATGATGAGACATTGTAACTTTTGATGCTGTACTACTTTGTAGTGTTTTATAGGGTTGGGCGATGTCTACAAAATTTCCATTGGACAATGTCCAAAGAAGGTTAAAGTCAAGGCCAGCTGGACTTAGTTGAATATTCTAGTATAAATTATGGAAAAAGACAAGTTCTGTGTCTTTTAGGTGACTTTATAAAATGTACTGCTGATGGAGAAAATGGAGTGGGGGGGGGGGCGCAGAGGACAGAGAGAGGCGGGACAAGCCGGTGTGTTTACCTGAGGTGTAGGCCTCTTGTGTGTCTGAGTGTGGGGAGAAGAGAATTCTGAGGAAAGTGCGAAGCATATTTAAAATTTATAATAATAATGTTTGTGGTGATTAAGACCTGCTTTCACATGGCGATATTATGTGAAAATTTTTTATTTTTTTTGCCAGGAGGCAGTGTTTTTACAATTTCGATGCCTGCTCAACGTCATGATGTCTGTCAGCCATCGCTGATGGCATCGTCTATCAGCCCAACCCTAGTGTTTTACTGAAGTGCATTATATTGGACAAAATACCAAAAATCTAATAATAATTTATTATTAATAACAGAATAATGCAGGTTCACTTTAGTAGTACAGTTGGGGTCCTTTCCTAAACACATTCCAGACCCTGTAAAGGCTTGACTTTTAGGTGCAGCTTTACTACACTGCACACTCTTTACCCATTCTAGTGCATGCTTTTGGTGTGACAGTGAGCATATACAGTGCATCTTGAAAGTATTCACAGCCAATTCTACAAACCATTTCCCATAATGACAATGTGAAAAAAGTTTGTTTGAAATCTTTGCAAATGTATTCAAAATATAAAACGAAGAAAGCACTTGTACATAACTATTCATAGCCATGACACTCAAAATTGAGTTCAGGTGCATCCTGTTTCCACTGATCATCCTTGAGATGTTTCTACAACTTGAATGGATTCCATCTGTGGTAAATTCAGTTGATTGGACATGATTTTGAAAGGCACACACCTGTCAGAGCACAAACCAAGCCATGAAGTCTAAAGAATTGTTTGTAGACCTTCGGGACAGGATTGTATCAAGGCACAGATCTGGGGAAGGGTACAGAAAAATTTCTGCAGCATTGAAGGTCCCAATGAGCTCAGCGGCCTCCATCATCTGTAAATGGAAGAACTTCGGAACCACCAGGACTCTTACTAGAGCTGGCCGCCCGGACATACTGAGCGATCGGGGGACCTCAGGGCCTTAGTCAGGGAGGTGACCAAGAACCCGATGGTCACTCTGATAGAGCTCCAGCATGTCTCTGTGGAGAGAGGAGAACCTTCCAGAAGAACAACCATCTCTGCAGCACTCCATGAGTCAGGCCTGTATGGTAGAGTGGCCAGATGGAAGCCCCTCCTTAGTAAAAGGCACATGATCTGCCCGCCTACAGTTTGCCAAAAGGCACCTAAAGGACTCTCCGTCAGTCCATCAGAAACAAAATTCTGTGGTCTGATGAAACAAAGATTAAACTCCTGGCAAGCGTTGGAGTCTGGAGGATGTCTGGAGGAAATCAGGCACGACTCATCACCTGGTCAATACCATCCCTAAACTGAAGCATGGTGGTGGCAGCATCGTGCTGTGGGGATGTTGTTCAGCAGCAGGAAATGGGAGACTAGTCAGGATCGAAGGGAAAGAAGAATGCAACAATGTACAGAGACATCCTTAATGAAAACCTGCTCCAGAGCGCACTGGACCTCAGACTGGGGAGAAGGTTCATCTTCAGCAGTATAGAGAACACATATATACACACTATAAACAAAAACAGTATAGACAGATTGAGACAATAGTGCAATGAGCAGAGTGCAAAGGATGCAGGAGTAAAATTATTATCGTTATTATGTACATGAGATGGTGGATGAGATATACAGGTATACATGTACTCATGTACACTGTGTGATGGAGCATAGTGCAAAGGATGCTGGAATAAATAAGTGTTATGTGCAGGTGTTATGTTCATGCGGTAGGTAGATTTGGTATAAACTATATTAGGGCTGACCCTGAATAGTCGGAAGATTTGATGCTGATTGATGCTGCAGCCTGATTCGACTGTCAATCTCACAGTCGAAGCTTTGCAGCAAAACAAGGTTCATGCCATTTTGGCTATATGGGGTGCTCAAAGTCTGATTTTACATAGAACTACCGGTTTCTGGTAAGTTAATTTACAGCCTATTACAATACATTTAACATTTAATCCCATAAATAAACGTGAAAAAAAAACTTTCAATAAATGTTATAATAAAAGAAAAATAAAATAAAAGTGCGTGAATAAATCCAAAATTGTAACCCTAACCCTGGGTTGTCAGTGCGCATGTGTAGGCGTAGCATGTATGTGTGTAGTGACAGTGGAGGAACAGACGGCTGTAGAGACGGAGCCCCGGCTTCACCAGTGTTACCACCACTAATGAACCACACAAAGAATATTATATTGTTTTTAAATAGCCGGCTACTTGAAATAGACCCGCAAGGAACCGCAACATGCTTGCAGTTGTCGTCAGCACGGCATCCATGCACGGAAATTAAGTTACACTGACTAATGAATAGAGACTGCAGTGCTGCAGACTTCACAATTCTGATTCGACTATGTAAATCCTTAGTCGCAGTGATGTTTCCTGCCCGTTTCCTGACTCTGGAAAAGTATAAGTCCTGAATGGAGGGCAGGTTGGCACCGATGATCTTTTCTGCAGTCCAGACTGTCCGTTGTAGTCTGCTCCTGTCCTTTTTGGTGGCAGATCCAAACCAGACAGTGATGGAAGTCCAGAGCACAGACTGGATGATAGCTGTGTAAAAGTGGATCAGCAGGGCGGGTTGAGCTTCCTGAGCTGGCACAGCTCCTCCTGAAGTCCACGGTCATCTCCACAGTTTTGTGCGTGTTAAGCCCCAGCCTCACCAGCTGACTCCTGTCAGTCAGGAAGGTTGTGATCCACTGATAGGTGGAGGATGGCACAGTGAACTGACTGAGTTTGGTGCTGCGGATGTCCGGGACGATGGTGTTGAACGCCAAACTGAAGTCCACGAACAGGATCCTTGCATATGTCCCTGGAGTGTCGAGGTGTCACAGGATGTAATGCAGTCCAAGTCGAACCTGATTGAACATCTCTGCAGAGATCTGAAAATGGCTGTGCACCGACGCTCCCCATCCAACCTGATGGAGCTTGAGAGGTCCCGCAAAGAAGAATGGGAGCAACTGCCCAAAAATAGGTGTGCCAAACTTGTAGCATCATACTCGAAAAGTTTTGAGTTCTGTAATTGGTGCCAGTGGTTCTTCCAACAAATTATTGTACAAAGGCTGTGAATACATAAGTGCTTTGCAAAGATTTCAAACAAACTTCTTCTGTGTTGTCATTACGGGGTATTGTTTGTAGAATTTTGAAAATAATGAATTTAATCTATTTTGGAATAATGCTGTTACATAACAAAATGTGGAAAAAGTGAAGCGCTAATATCTAATACACTAGCAGTGATTGGGGAAGGATTATTTTATGTATTTTTATTTACCTAGGTACATTGGTGCTAGCTGCTGTTTATGTATACTAGAGCTTCAACCATTCGATAGTAATTAAGAGCGAATAATCGAAGCTTGCCCCCCCCCCCCCCCCTCACTGCGGAGCTCAGCGGTCCTGTTATGGCGATTGTTTAAACGTGTGTTGATAAGCATGCTATAATTTCAGGAGCTACAGCTATGTATTTAATAGATAGAAGCAGAACAGCAGCAGAAGAATGCCCAATAAGTTCTGCTGAGTGAGGGGGGGATCGGATGGGGGAGAGATAGCGGCGGCAAGTCTGTGTGCATGTGTGAGAGAGAGAGAGAGAGCGCTCTGTTTATTTATTCTCATAGCTAGGCTAACTGAGTGATTATTACCAAATCTTTGTTTTTAATTTGTTATGGCAGTTGGCAGACCCAAGTGCAGGACTAAGAAAGGGAGAAATATTTATTGCAGGTTGCAAGGATCAGATATTGAGCAGCGGAAGAGCGAGGCAGAGTGAAAATAGGTGCGTGCTGAATGGGGATGGTGGCTGCTGTACAGAGCAGGGGGAACCGTAGCTGAGAGTCCAGAGTGAGAGAGTCTGATCTGAGCAGGTCCAGAGCAGACTCCGGGAATAGTGGGGGTCCGGGCGGAGAGCCTAATATAGGCCTAATTAGGCTTACTTAAATGCGTTCATTGTGTAGCTGTTTGTTTCCAGCCTACAGTTTACTGATTTAATTTTAAAATGTAGGAAATTTGACTGTTTTGATCTATAATGAGATTAAGCAATTGTAAAATTAATAAACGCCATAACTTCCACACTACTGCTGTCACCACTCAGTTTAAAGTGCTACCACACAGCTGAGGGCTTCATTTAGTTTTCCCTTTGATGTGAATTGGAGCATTGCGTTCACTGCTGTCGGCGGAGGTCAGGCGCGAAAAAAACCCTCAATAATCGAATCTCATAATTGAAAATCCAATGTGTACCCAACGGTTGAATATTCGGGTCCAGCCCTAATGTATAACCATGTTCATTTCATATTTCGGTAATGAACATTCAGCTTTCCACTAGGGGTGGGGGGAAAAAATCGATACAGCATAGTATCGTGATATTTGCCATGGCAATACTATATCGAGACACGGACACCGATTGCAGATGGGAGTTTTAACTTTTTGTTACTAGAATAATAAAATCTATTGCTTTTTTAGTCCACTAGAAAACTTAACAGGAACATATAGAGGACTTAAAAAGTGATATGAACAAACAGAGAAATGTATCTTTTTAGATAAACAGATGTTGACAAAGTTTGACTTTAGCGACCTAATTGGAAATTGGAAAAAGGTAATAAATTGTTATATATCTCAATATATTTAAAATCGCAATAAAATCGAATCGCAACATAAATATCGTGATAATATCATATCGTGGGGCCTCTGGTGATTCCCACCCCTACTTTACACTTTTGGTACACTGGAAAATCTTCAATAAAAAGATCTTTGTTAAAAAAAAAAAGAATATCACTGTGGGAGCGGCTGTGGCTCAGGAGGTGGAGCGGGTTGTCCGTTAATCGGAAGGTCGGCGGTTCAATCCCTGGGTCCCCCTGGTTGCGTGTCGAAGTGTCCTTGGGCAAGATACTGATACGGCGGCTATATATGAGTGTGAATGCTAGTTTCCGTTTGAGCACTTAGGCTCAGTGTATGAATGTGTGTGACTGGTGAATGCAGATGTAGTGTAAAAGCGCTTTGAGTGGTCGAAAAGACTAGAAAGGCGCTATACAAGTACGGAGCATTTATATTTACATTGAGGCAAACCTTTGTCACACATCATTGGATGTGCCGAAAATTCAATAATTTCAGCAATCGAGGATGTACAGGCAATATTCTTTGATTTTTTTTAAGTGTTAGCAAAATTGTTGTAATAAGCCAAGTAAATTAACAAATTATTACCAAACTTAATGCATCAACTGAGTAGTGACCCTACATCATGCAAATCCATGCAGCCAATTCACCCTTCACTAAGCCGTGTGCTAATAGTGTTGATCCTTAATGTCGTTGTCCTTTGTCTCAATCGTCAGGTGATGGGGTGGTTCACTTTTACTCTGAGATCGGTAACCTTCAAATGTATAATGCAAACTCTCCTGTCTGCTTCTTTCTGAAATCTCTCCAGGGAGTGCAGTTATAAACAGTGGCAGCACCACGATAAGTCCTACAGGCCCAACAGCTTGTCGGACTTAGAAACAGTAACAAAGGGTGGCATGGCTTCGCGAAGGGTCAAATTACTTGCTAGTACCGAGTTGGACCCTTCAGAACTGCCTTAATTCTTTGTGGCATACTTTAAATAAGGTGTTGGAAACATTCCTCAGAGACTTTGGTATTGCCAATAGCTAATTGTCAATAGCTGCAGATTTGGCGACTACACATCGACAAATTATGCCAATCTCCCATTCCACCACATCCTAAAGGTGCTCTATTGGGTTGAGATCTGATGACTGTGGAGGCCACTGGAGTACAGTGAACTCATTGTCGTGTTCAAGAAACCAGTTTGAGATGATTTGAGCTCTGTGACATGGTGCATTATCCTGCTGGAAGTAGCCATCTGAAGATGGGTACACTGTCTTGATAAAAGGGATGGACATGATCAGCAACAAGGCTGTCACGTTTAAACAATGCTCAATTGATACTAAGGGGCCCAAAGAGTGCCAAGAAAACATCCCTCACACCATTACACCACCATGACCAGCCTGAACCGTTGATACAAGGCAGGATGGATCCATGCTTTCATGTTGTTTACACCAAATTCTGACCCTACCATCTGAATGTTGCAGCTAAAATTGAGACTCATCAGACCAGGCAACGTTTTTCCAATCTTCTATTGTCCAATTTTGGTGAGCCTGTGCGAATTGTAGCCTCAGATTCATGTTCTTGGCTGACACGAGTGGCACCCAGTGTGTGTGTTCAGAGATGATATTCTGCATACCTCGATTGTAACGATTGTATTTGAGTTACTGTTGTCTTTCTGTCATCTCAAACCAGTCTGCCCATTCTACTCTGACCTCTGACGTCAAGAAGATATTTTTGTCCACATAACTGTCACTCACTGGATATTTTCTCTTATTCGGACCATTCTCTGCATGAAAATCCCAGTAGATCAGCAGCTTCTGAAATACTTAGTCTGCCACCAACAAGCATGCCACGTTCAAAGTCAATTAAATCCCTTTCTTCCCCTTTCTGATGCTCAGTTTCAACTTCAGCAAGTTGTCTTGACCACATCTACATGATTGGCTGAATAGCTATTTGTGTTAACAAGCAATTGGTTTAGATGTACCTAATAAAGTTGCCAATGAGTGAACATTTGTCACATTTGTGGCGCTCCCTAGTGACACAACATCCAGGACTGCTCAGCAAAGCATGGACCTAACATATACCTCAGACCTACATATCGGACCTATAGCTTAAGCCAATTGTGATTTACAAATTGTTGTGTAAATGGAACTTAAAGACAGGTTTAAAATGTTTAATTGCAGACCCATATAGAATATCAAAAGTACTTTTTCCTGGATTGGTCCAGATATACTATGTCAAATTTTCAATGCCGGTTGCTCAACAGATTTAGACAAAATGGCTTTAAATATATCCAGATGCAAATGACACTGACTAACATGAAAAGAATTGTCTCGACCCACAGCATCTCCAGGGAAAATTTTGTTTCTGAGACTTACCATTCAAAAGTTATAGGCCAAACATGAATTCCTTGTTATAGCACCACCGTCTGGCCAGTCTGTCTTCTCTTCTTACTCCATTCTTCATCCCATGTTGAATAACAGGCTTTAAGGCAGTTTGAATTTCCCCTATGGCTCATGACTAATATATGGTTGCCCCCTGCAGGCATTGCTTGGCTGTGCTGTGATGCCAGGCGACAGGTTCGTATGCAGGCCCTCACCTACCTCCAGAGGGCCCTGCTCGTTCACGATCTGCAGACACTTGACGCAGCTGAGTGGGAATCCTGCTTTAATAAGGTAAGAAAGAAGAGGAGAAGCTACATGTTTCCATTTACTATCAAATCCTCTAGCTGGTTATATTGCACAGAGCAGGATTGAGAACATGTGCAATTTCAGAACTTTGGTTCTTGTGTTCTTTTAAAATCAGCAATTTTCCTCAAAAATAAAAGATTTCCAGAGCCCGCTGATGTAGTGTGTGTGGTGTGTGTTTACAGGTGCTCTTCCCCCTGTTAACTAAGCTGCTTGACAACATCAGCCCAGCAGATGTGGGCGGTATGGAGGAGACCAGAATGAGAGCCTGCACACTCTTGTCAAAGGTTCAAAGCAACACACACCACAGCACACACTAAAGGCAGCGAGAAATCATGTCAAATATATGTATAAGGAACAGTTTCACATCAGTAGATCATTTGGATGTTTTTCACAGTTGTGAAACATTTGGTATTTGACCATAGACACACGAAAGCTTGATATTTTGTAAATAGCCTCTCCATGAAAACCCAGGCAAAGATAGGCAAAATACATTAAAATCTATTTTGATACAAGATTCAAAATACATTTAAAAAATCGATTCAAGTAATAATCTTATTTTTTTCTGTCAAAGTATTGTTTCATCTCACTGCTGGAGATGTTGACTGGCTGTTGCAGTGAGAAGAGTATCCCTACTGGATAGTAAGCTCTCGGGCGGGGTCCAAAGTGAGCACTCACCATACACTAGTAAAAAAATTATGTTGGCGAATAAAATAAATGAGGAACTACCTGCTTCAAAGAATCTGGTAGTTCATGCCAGTGACATGCCTCTTCAGCAAGCCTGTGCAAGTGAGTGGGAACACTGTCCAACTGGCAGTGTATCAGTTTGAAAAAATACAGAACCAAAATATTTTGATAAAAATACCAAACTATCTCTATCAAGTTCAAATACAAATGACAAATTACTATTTTGTATTTTAAATGTTAGAACAGTATATTCATACATGAGAAACTTTGTTAGTCATATCTTAACAATGGAAAACCTGAGCCCTCAGAAGTCCCTAGTTCTACCCACTTACCTAAACCACTAATTTAGTAGTGAAAATGAAGGGGAAGTCATACTGTAGATTAATTAACCTGAAAGTATCTCTTTAAAGTTTAATTTAGAATAAGAAATTTGGATAATAGCTTTTAAATTGCCTTCAAAATAAATAGGTCAAACAAGACCTGTTTGAAGTCTGATTTGCCACTGCATATTGTCCTTGTCCTTGTACTGCAATATGCGCCATTGCATCTATTATAATACTGTATCAAGTGAAGTCCCTCCAGTCTTATATCTGAGCACTTGTGGTAGAAAAGAAAACGTTAATGTAGCAAACAGGAATAATAAGCAGTTGTTCCTGCTAAGTGAGGTCACCTGCCAGCAGCTGTGGCTGATGTGTGATTGGTTTCCATTTGTCCAGGTTTTCCTCCAGCACCTCTCTCCTCTGCTGTCCCTGCCTACCTTTGCTGCCCTCTGGCTCACCATTTTGGATTTCATGGACAAGTACATGCATGCAGGATCCAGTGACTTACTGGTGAGGATGGTGACATAGCTGATGGTGGTAATACTAACAGACTGCTAGCTGACCAGCATTTATTTATATGTCCATATCAGTCTCCACCTAATATGATGCAAATACTGTGAGGAGCTTATCTGTAGGATCAGGTTCAGGGCAGACCCTGGAATGACTTGACAGGTTGATGTAAATGGAATATGGCTGCATTTCTACCTGTTTGTATCAGCCTTTCACACTCATCATGGACTCTGTATGTAATCTGTCCTGAAGAGGTCCTGACAGGCAAGACAGAACAAACGATTCTGGTGATCCATTCTCCAAGTCTGATCTTAGTAGTTCTCTCTCCTGGGTTTATGGCTTAAGAACAGGTGGAGGAAAAGGTTTTGGCAGGGAAATTCATTTTATGTTTGTTGTTGTAATACTCATTTTAGCCACAAGAGGCCGAAGTGCACAACTACCCCTGACTAAAAGCATTTTAACAAATAATTTCTCCTTCCACTCCAGACACAAGGTACATATATTGTGTAGCAGTTAACTCTGAGCTTCTGCCGTGGGTAAACAGCACAGTTGTCAGAGCGGAATCCAGTCTGACTACGGGAATTTGTCCAAAAGTTGCAGCGCTGCTCCACCTCTCTCCTCCACTGTTCCCTGTAGCTCAGCAGCTGTCTGTCAGCCAGCGGAGATTTACTTCCTCCACTCTGCCTGGTCCAAACAACGCTCTGAAGCCATCTGCGATGTCCGGCCAATCTCAATCTCAATCTCAATCTCAGTCTCAATCCCATGCAGAGTTGCATGACTCAGCGTCACGCAACTCTGCCTTTGAGTTGCCGGCAGCACTTCCTCTGCACCACCCAACAGGAAATTAGGTCCTCCAAAATAAACAAAGTTTAACCTGCCAAACCTTTTTCACATATGGAAACAGGTGAAGTGGAACTCTTAGAAAGATTATCCTGGAGAAACCTTTTTTTTCACCTGTTCTTAAGTCCCAGAAACAGGAGAGAAACCCTGAGATCAGACTTAGAAAATGGATGACCAGAATTATTTTTCTCTTGCGAGGTCTGGGCCTGATTGGCTTCCTGGCCTTGCTAATGTCCTGCCTCTGCATTTATATGTGTAGCTGGAAGCAATCCCTGAGTCTCTGAAGAACATGCTGCTGGTGATGGACACAGCGGGGATCTTCCACAGCGCGGACTCCAGGACAGGATACTCAGACTTGTGGGAAATCACCTGGGAACGAATCGTCTGCTTCCTGCCTCACCTGAGGGATGAGCTATTCAAACAGACCGTCATAACAGGTACGCAGCAGACCTGCGGTGGGTGAGGAATATCACTGAACGGTCTAGACATCACAAAGTTGGTCTGAAGAGATGAACGGCTCGATGTAATGCCATGGCAACGTGTGTATTAGTTTGTTGTGGTACCAGGACCTTTGACGCTGGTGTTTCTCATAAATCATCCTTGTTTTTAGATCCAGTGCCCAGTCCTCCAGCAGAGACCGGGCAGCCTGCACCACCAGCAAGCCAGCCTCTATCCCCTCAATTGGGTCCACCACCTACCCAGCCGTCCTCCCCAGTCCCAATCAGCCCTGCAGAGACACAGACCCCCAGCAGGCCAGCATCACCCGAGAAGCCCCAGTCAGCCAGTGCCAAAGGTACAAAACCTGAAGGTTCCCTGTCTCAGCACATGGAAGAAACATTTAGACTACAACACGAGACCAAACATGTTAACCACATATCAAGTTCTTAAGTGCAATGTATACTTCTGCGTAGCCTCTGCGTAGCCCCGTAGCCTACGCCGTCGCCTGACGTACACCTCCTCAAAAATGTAACTACACATCGAGTCGACGCAGACCGTAAGCTCTGTGATTGGTTGGCTGGGTAGACTCGCAATGCCTCCGAGCGGACCGGAAGTACCCCGCGCTTTGAAGTAACTTTTAGTAGCGGTAACACAGTGAATCAATATATTTGACCGTCGCAACCCGAGCGAAATGACTCGTTTCATTATCAGAATGTGATCCATTCGGTTGGTAACATTTGAAAAGGCTACACCAGCCGCACGTTTACAATTTTACCCCCATTTACCTTAGTGGAGGGCTAAACCGTAAGTTAGCCTGCTCAGCCGGCAAAAGTCAACACAGTGGACGCTGTAGCGCTACTGCCGACTAGTGTTTGGGGATGTAATTGCAGAATGACGGACACACCTACGCACAAGTATAAATGGGCCTTTAGCCAGCGGCTTGGGTTCCAGTCTTACCGCCCTTTGCTGCACATTATCTCTCAAACATACAATATAATAAAATAAAACATTTTGCACTCCAAGTGCAACATGTTTTTTTATAGAATAATTTTTACTTACCCTAGTAAAAATTTTTAAAAATTCTTCTTTTGGAATATACATAATAACGTGTAATTCACAGATAGATCCTTTCAGTTTCAGTCCTACAGCTGCACATCTGGCTTTTGATCAGCCCAAAAGGACTCCATTACTCAGTGACCTCCACTGGCTCCCCGTGGCCTCCAGAATCAAATTCAAGTCACTAATGCTGCATACAGAGTGACTACTGGGTCTGCACCCATCTACCTAAACTAAATAATACAAGTTTACGTTCCTTCTCGGCCGCTACGCTACTCCAACGAACACCGCCTTACTCTGCCATCCCTTCACATAAGGCAATCCCAGTCCCGGCTGTTCTCATCTGTGACACCACGATGGTGGAATGAGCTACCACATGCCATCAGAGCAGGGGTGTATAAAACATATAAAACAGAGCTTACTTCCTGTTGCCTGTGTTTGGCGCTCTCACTATAACTGAATATTGGCATGTAGATGTGTTCAGGGCGGGACCGTTATTAAGCATGTCGTTTGGTAAAGATTTGAGCATGTACAGTGAAGTTGCAACTTCCTGTTTCATGACGAATCATTGATTTTCAACGCCACGGGCACACTTAGTGTGTGTCTTTTCTGTCAAACCTACCACTAGATCATCACTGACAATGTCCTGGAAAAGTCCTGGAAAATGATCTCTAAAAAAGAGTGGGAACCCTGTAATAGGGTTAAAGTTGTGTGTAGTAGCCACCTACATGTGGCGTCTCATTAGATAGCTGGATCGAGTGGTGGGGGAAATAAAATCCCTTTTAAACTCGCCCACAGGATCTTCTGTCTGTGAGGCAGCGATGGACTGAAGCAGGGCAGGGATGCCCTCCAGTGGCTCTGCTGAGTATGTGACCATGAAGACTACACATCAGTTTAATTTGGTGTCTCTGCGTGTTTTCACTGTAGCTCTGTCTTTACTAAGACCGATGATGTACATGGGCAGCGGTTCAGCTGAGTTCATGTGAACACTTTGCTGCTGGTTAAGGCCTGATGCTGGGAAGTTACAGATCAGTCTGCAGATTAGTGGAGAGGCCCTTAGTTAAAGAAACCACGTTCATATATCAGAACTGCATCCCATACTCCTTATACTGCATAATACAATATATAATATAAAGTTATCTGTGTAGTCTGACAAGATTTAACTCCACTTACTAGCTGTTTTTGCTTCTAACCACACAGTCTTCCTCAGCAGACTGTGCAGTTGTTAAGTTGTACAGCAAATTCTATAGCAATATCCATGGCCTAAGTTTATTTATTAAACTTCTGAGGTGCACATATGCTTAAACAATACCACGATCCTCTACATCTGGTTTAGCAGGGACCTTCACACACAGGACAGCCATCTGCATGTCTGATAATACTCTTCATTCTTTAAACATGTTAGTGGCATTCAATGATAGCCCGTTATTTAAAACCCTCATATCAGTTAACAGCTGTGAAATAAAGCAGTAGTATGGGCTGATATTTGTCAGTACAATCTGAATTTGAATATTTTAGATCTGAATTTGAATTGCTCAACTTGAAAAACTGAATCTGAATAGCATAATTTGAAACTGAATTTGAGCCTCACTAAAAATTCAACTCTTTATGTATGTTCACTTTCAGTTTTCTCAATTTAAATTCACTTCTGTCATTTCAATTTCAATCCACAAGATTCAGTTTCAAGGTCAAAGACACTTCAAGGTCCTTCAGGAAGAGCAATCGAGTACAGATAAAGCCTGCATTCTCTCCAACAGCCAGCAGGGGGCAACTCCACTGCAAAAAGCCGCCTGGTTCCATCAGAAATAATGGCAAAATGTGCTTCTTTCTTGATATTCTTCTGTCTTGTTTTTACTAGTTTGATAAATTAGAGTTCAGACCTGAAAGCTCACTGTTTTACAGTACTGTGCTGTTGCCTTGTCCCGGTATAGAGTGAACAGTGAAAAGTCACGGACCTGGACTGATATGTCTGTTTTCTTGTTATCCCTGTGTTTCCAGGATCAGACCCGTCATCTCCGGCCCCACCCTCAGTCCGCCCCATGCCGGTGCCGTTAACAGCGTCCCCTGCTCAGACTGCCTCCCCCCTGAGCCAGTCCCCCTTTATCCTGCAGCCCCTCGCCTCTCCCCTGCAGGTTGGAGTCCCGCCGATGTCTCTGCCAATCATCCTAAACCCCGCCCTAATTGAGGCCACGTCCCCTGTACCGCTGCTTCCCAGTCCCAGACCTACAAGCCCCTCTGATGAGGTCAAGTAAAAGGATTCATGCTACTGCCCCCCCCCCCCCCCCCCCACACACACACACACACACACACACACTCTGTCAGCTTTCTAGACCACCACCCTTGAACAACTGGACACAAAAGAGGCCAACTTCAAGTACAAGAGCTGCTGGATACCAGGTTTTTGAAATGACGTAAATGTATGAGAAGAAGTTAGACATGACTCCTCAGTTCTACCACATTTGATTTAAAGGAAGAATCCCACAACTTACATTGAAGCTTGCATTGTGCCATGTTTTAGTATATTTTTATTCCTTATGGAGACAATATAACGTCATGTCCAGATATCTGGGAACAGGAAATGCAGGACCAAAGTGCAACTTCCATTCCCAGCACCGAGCTCCTGCTCCCTTTGTTGCTGGGGGGAGGATTTGGATGTTTAGGCAACCTGGGGAGAGTTGATGTTGTACTGCACATGGTAAACACTTGACTGGCTGATCCCAGTACTTTTTAAACTCAATGGATTATATGTATTTTAGACAAATTCAATGAAATAAAAATTCTGATTAAGTATTTCCCCACCACAGTTTTATTTTTGGGAGTTTAAGCAAGGCTTTAAAGGTAAAGGCAGGTGTTCTTTTTATTTATATATATATTTTATATTTTTCTTATTGTCTTAAAATCTGAAAAAAGACCCAAACCAACAATGCTGAATAAGTAAATCTTTAAAAACACCTCACAAATACTTTCATTTCCTAAAACAGCTGCTCCCTGTGTTTTTAACAAATGTAACTCAAACAGGAGAACATTTATTGGAGACTATTTTCAGTGGTGGATGAATCCACGTGGTGGTCTAGTGAGCATTTCGGGCAGCATGACAGTATATGTGGGACTGAGTCAGAATAAACTACAGTGTGTTGATGGTGATGAAGGAACATGTCATCCAGTGCAGCAGTGACGCTCACTGATGGGTTTTAATAGTTTTGGACCACAGTGGAGCTCTACACCTCAGAGGAAGAAGAGACTGTGATAGATACATAAAACTTGTTGGCAGGATCACTTCATTGTTGGTGTGGCTCTGCGTGTGGAGTGGAGTGAAGAAAAATGTGTAAGAAAAATATTAAATATCACCAGCTTAGGGGGAGAAAGTCTCATGATTTCTAGGCAATGGTCCTGACTTCAACACACTCCTGAAGGGACAGATTCATCCAACAGTTTTCACACATGCATACATATAAATAACAGGTTTACTCCTGTGTTGTCTCACACACTTGCTGGGAACCATTCGGAGGTTTTCAGTGGAAGGAGAAACACGTGCAGGATACTTTCCTCACCTGAAGGGTTTTTCTTTCAGAGGACCCCTCCCCTACCTCAGATTTGAACTTGATGAGACCAGGCTGACCTTATGGCTCCATACTGATCTAGAGGCAGGGACAGTAAAGATCCACACAAGTAAGTTATTTGGATTATAGGTACTGCTCGTTGTTGATTAAATAGGATTATCAGAGCTTTGAACTTAAGTCGAATTTTATACCACCCCCACTAAGGGATCGCCATCTGACTGAAAACCTTTTCAGATGCGCTGGCCTGTATGTTTTTCTTTTTACTAATTTCTTATCAATTCTGTGCAAGTTTATTGCCCCAACAACAAAAACAAGAATTTAGGGAACCCTATGAAGTCCTCCTCCGCCTGACAAAGAGGGACTGTGTGCACATGAAGACTTTCTCAGATGGAAGGGAGTTTTTACATCTACAACATTCCTACAACTGTAGATGCTTGAGTGTGCAGTGAGCTCTGTGAGTTAGAGATCCAGGTGGTGAATTTTATGGTGTAAGAGTTCATTGTTGATGTCATGTTATCATGTTCATGTAGCTCGCTGCGTACAGTCCACACATGAAGATCCCCAGCGACTGAGGAGCCCTTTATGTAACAACAATGGGTTACTCATCACAAACCTAAGGAAGATAATAAAACACTTTAATATAGTCATTACTGAATACTTTAACTGAATTACATGCTGAATTTATAGCATTGGACGATTTTACTTTACAAAACCAGCAGGTTTTTTTAAGTGGTGTAATCTCAAAAACTTAATTTTTATTCAATAACTTTATTCCACAGCTGAATTTAAGCAACAAAACATAAAACTTCACGTCTTTGATGTGGCAGCACAGAGTGGACTTCAGACCACATCAGATGGGTTTTCACAGTAAAATGTCATCATGCTATAGATTTATTGGTATTTACATTTCCAGAATAAGTATTCAGTTGTGGTCACATTTCACAATTAGGTGTTCAGCTGCTACAGTTTGTATCCATGGAAATCTGTTGACATTCTTGCATGCTGACTGCCCTGTGTGCAATGACATGGACCCTGATGATCTCACAGAGACTCATTCACCATTAGAATATGAAATGTGACCTGGAGCGGTGTAGGTGGACAGAAAGATGTGGACATGTATTCAAAGTGGCCCTAGGATTCTCTCAACGATGTTTGTTATTTATTGAGTTGTGAAACAAGATGTGGACAGTTCCACTGCAGTACAGCTGACATGAATACGTCAGCCACATAGAGCCTCCAACAGGAGACACTTTGTAGGCTGTGTTATTTGTTGTATAGGACAAATCTATCAGGAGCTCATTCTTGCTTGTACGTGAAATTACATGAATATGTGTGTGTATATATAGATGAAAGGTAAAGTACTTTTTACTATGTAATAAATATAATGTAAAGAAAGTGCCCATTCTGGTGTGTTTCTTTGACCCAGTGCCATGCAGACCGGATCCTCTAAAGCCTCAACACTGAGGACGCGAGCCAACGGAGAGAGACTCTCTCATAAGCACCAGAGCTGCGGGTCGGCAGGATTCCTCTTCTGTTACTATTCAACTGACAAAGAACGCCTCGGAGACAAGAGACGGGCTGGCGTTGGCCCTGTTGCTATAGATGACATGTTTCATGAAGGAGTTACCTCACTCTGTATGCAATGATTGGTGGACATTGGATCATTTGTGTCAGTGAATGAGAAACAAATTCCATCAATACACAGGCGTGACATAGATGGACATGAAACACTGCCTTGTCCAATAGCTTATATCTGGGTTCATACACACTTTGCATGTTGATACTATATACAGCGCACAGCGTGATTGAGTACAGCCCAACAGATTTCTCAGAAAAACATCCATCTCGCTTTAATATGTTTTCTTTTGGATCCTATACAGTAGAATATTTGTGCTATTCTGGTGTATTGGTTTGAAACCAAAGGCAAAATTTTAACTACACTAACAAAATGATTTATTGATCAAGGTCCAAAAATGAGTTCACCCAAAGGAATGTCTTAGGAGAAAACCCTTTTACAAATAACAGGAATCTGCCAACAGTTGAGTCCAATCAATCATCACACAAGTGATAATTGACAATTAAGAGTGGTATTTCAGAGAGAAAATCAATGCTGATGAAATGACAACACATGGAAAAGAAATGTCACAAGACCAGAAAAAGGAACGAAAATCCTTTCTTTGCACAATAAAGGTCAAGGTTATAAGTAAATTAGTAAAACAATGCTAATAAGTTTAAATACTGTCGCAAATGTCTTCCAAAAGTTCATAAAGGTTGGATTTGTGGGATGCAATGTCCAAGCCGTCCACAGAGGTTAACATCTCGTCAAGAGCGTTTAATGATGAGAGAAGTTGAAGGAAATTGGCATGCAAGTTCAGCAGTTGGCTAAATCATCATAGAAAGTCAAACTGGGGTAAGTGTTTCCTATGCCATACACCTCAGAGGAGTGGTATGCATGGCTTTTGTCCACGAAGGAAGCCACTGCTGAGCCCATGCACAAAGTAAAGCCTTTCACTGATGGCATCATGAATTCATAAATGTACTGTGAAATATAGAACAGAAGAAGCTACCATCTCTCCATACCCTAGGTCACCAGGCAATACGATAATGACTCAAAACATACATCTAAGCCCACTGGTTCATTTCTGAGGACGAACAGGGTGAACGTATCACCAGCCCTCAACCCAACAGAACACTTGTGGGGGGTTCTGAAATGACAAGTTGAACATCAGTTTCCATCCAGCATCCAGGATCTGAAAAAGTTCATTCTTCAAGAGTGGAGAGAGAAGATAGATGTAGCTATATGATGTCAACTTGTTCATTCAATGTCTAGACGACTTGGTGCTGTTCTTAAAAATGAAGGCCATCCAAAATATGAGATTTAGTAGAATTTGTTGTAGGTTGTAATATTTTTGCATCACCCCATTTGAATAAAATGTATTGTTTAATGACCTGTTTTTAAAAAAATGCAGCAAATTGGCCTCATTCACAGAGAAATTGATGAGTATTTTTCCCAGTTGACTGAACAAATGTTTATCCTTCAGTGGCTAGTTATTCATGTCAGCTATTTTGCCTGCGGTGATGGCCATGAAATCAGCTTTATTTAATGTGCACTTAATTAACTCTCAAACAAATTGAGGACTGAAGCTGAAGAGCTGTTTTGGGTTGAAAATCTTTTGGACACATTACTGAGATATTCAGTTCAGTGTCACAGGACACTGGAAAGCTGTGCAAACCGTCAGCTCTGTTGTTAATGTTCATTTTGATTGGTTTGTGCACTGATTAGGTCCTTATTAACTCTCCATCAAAATATGACAGTTCTCAGTTACTCAGGAGTCCATCTTCTTTCATCCTGAGGAGTTTTAATGCTTTGTGAATTACTGACAATACAGTTTCTTACAGTTAGGCACACCTGACAAACCTCTTCTTTTTAACGTGTGTGTGTGTGTGTGTGTGTGTTGTGTGTGTGTTATTTTGTCAACAAATCCCATGTGCAGAGTCAAACCAACTATGAATGTACGCTGCTATCTCTCATTCCTCTGTTGTTTTAGCAGTACAGTTTTTTACATCTTCATGTGCATGTTTCTACTGTACTGACTTATTTCAAAATTAAATTTTTTTTAAATGAGACAAAAGAAAACTGTAGAAGTGTTGAAGGTCTGAGTAGCTCTCTGGTGTAAAACATCTGAGATTTTATTTCAAAGCAGAATGAGAACCACAGTTTTTTAGTAAACTAACTGTATCAGAAACTACAGAGGCCAGGAAAAAAACTCTTTTATACATGGAATGTAAAAACACCAGTGAAACAAGAACAGGAATGGCAAACTGTGGGGACTGAAATGATCTAATCTATAAAGAATGCAATCTCTTGAAGGGACAGTGGAACGTAAACATGAACAGCACTCCACTCACAAATATTGTTTTTTCCTCTTTAACCAAGACAGACTCCACATCAAAACCCCTACTGTCATATCACCTATCTACACCACCTGCAACAAACAACAGTTAGAAAAACAAACCCCCAAGACAGGAAGCCTCACTTGGCATCCAGCTTGGCCATTTCCTGAAGGTATATTCCGATGCTCTCACTGTCGAACAGAACAAAGTAAATGTTTTTCAGAGAGGAGCTGGTGGACGACACAAAATGGTTGGAGATGGCCTTGAGGATGAGCTGGGCAGCCGTTTGCTTTGGGAATCCATTCCTGTGGGAAAGATTCAGGTTGTTAAGAGAATCTGCAGTGAGCAGCAGAAATGGCTCTCACAGCAATGGCAGTGACTAAAGGACACTTTAGCTTAACAGCACAGACCAGTGAAGACTGAGTCATGATCTGCAGCTAAAGACAACAGCTGTACATGATAATGGCAGGGTTAGAGGAAATGTGAATGTTTACATATGTTTACCTAAATTACGTTAATGTCCTTTCTGTGGCTTTGTTCAGGCATGACAGGACTGCTGGTTTGATTTTTAGCACCTGGTCTAAGAGGCAGCGGTCAGTTGCAAAGTTTAATCATGCAAAGCAAGAAGAAGGATTTTTCTTCTGTTACAGGGATAAACGGATGAAGCCTCTTTGTCTTCTGGATTGCCATTTTTATGATGAACTAATATCTTTTAAATGACATGTTTTGGTCCAGTGATGGAGAATTCCTTGTTTAATTTTTAATGCTTAGAAGTTGGCTGCCTTGGCTGTACCATCACAACCCATAAAAAATACTTTATAAAATAAATACAGAATTTCTAACCCATAATCATAAGTGTCATCAATGAAAACATCTTCTCCAATCACTGATGTATGAAACAAACTTTAATGCAACATAAAGGTTTGGTCTAATCGATTTGGTCTAATGGAACCATAGTAACTCTGGGTTGGAATCATGTGGAGTATTTTAGAGCACTGAGCCTTGTCTAATGGTGGGAAAAAAACACCAGGATTTATTTGTTAAGTATTATTTGTAATGTGATTATTGTTATTCTGGTTTATGGTCTATTGTTCTAAATAACATTGTCTTCTAGCCATTTTGGGCCAGGCATATTATGACACAATAAGAAAAATAAACAGTCATGACTTCACTTTTCAGAATTCAAGTGCTGGTTTCTAAAATCAGACCTGAACAACCTAAAATCAAAATCAAATTCAGCGTTTCATCATTCATAAAGTGACTTCTGTTCTAATGATCAAGTAATCCATTTACTCCAAGACCAGCCTTTCATTCTCTGCATGTTTCACTCTGTGCTGCTGTGTCTTTACATCAACCTGATGCGTTCACTTCCAGTTGTGCTGTGTACTTTTCAGACATGAGACCAACATGTTCAATTATCAAAACAAAGTGAGTGATTTAAATCAATGTACAGGCATTTCAGAGTGCACGCACACACTTGTGATTGACGCTGAGCCTGGAGTCTCTCCATCAAACTTCTAGTCAGGAGCAGGTTAGCTGTTTAGCGGGACACTGACTGACTACAGAGTGTCTGCAGAGCAGCGCTCACCGTCCAGCAGGAAGTGAAGGGAAAGCCACGGACTTGAGCTTCTTCTCCTCTGCTGCTGAGAGGCAGTTCTTCACCGTCTTTTCCAGCTGGTCCTCGCACTTCTCTGAACCCCACTGAGGGACGTTACAGTGGATGATGAAGCGGGCCGCCATCCCACTGGCCTGGCTCACTGCCACTGCAGGGTGCAGACACAAACACTGAGTCCCACAGTTTAACCCTTACACACATACTTGGGGCCCCTGTCACTAGGGTTCTGTTATCAGTAGTACAGCGCAGTGTCTCTACACTCCAAACACATAAGAAATCATAAAATCTGCATTCAGAAAGTGATTCTGCTTTCATTCGGTTTGTAAACATCTTTCACCACAACACCTACGACTCAACCACCAGATGTTGTTAAGTTGTCGCTTTGGATAAATGCGTCCGCCAAATGAGTAAATGTAAATCTTAAGTTGTGTAAACAGAAGTCACTAACAGCCACTTAGTCCAAGACACGTGTTTCTAACTGCTGATGGGAATGGTGACCTGCCACTACCGATGTGTTGTCTGACCAGCACTGACCGCTCGCCGGAGCTGGAGATCACGTGACCGCGTCAGTTGTCAGTTCCGTCACAATCAGATGTTGAGGATGCCGGCCTGCCTTACTGACTTTTTATCGTCTTTCATCACACTGGAGAAGGTCCTAATTATTGGGGATTTTAACCTGCATATTGATATCACATGCAACACAGATACTGATCTCCTATCTCTCACAGAATCTTTTAATTTTATTCAGCATGTTACTGGACCCACACACATTAAGGGTCACACCCTGGACCTTGTCTTCTCACTTGGTCTTGATATAGTAAATGCACGGAAGATGTTCGTGAGTGATCATAGCTGTGTGTTCTTTGACATTAACTTATTCTGGATCCTCCGCCCCTGAGAATTAGGGCCCAAAGGTGGATTATTAATCATGATGCTGTTGAGAGGTTCTCTGCCTTGTTTGACCCATGATCACTAATGGGATGCAGTGATGCAGATGTTTTTATCCGGTCTTTTAATACGTCAGTTTTTAGATAAAAGTGGCACCAGTCTCCCATAAAGAAACTTGTCCTTGGATACATGAAACAATCCAGACTTTTAGGAGTAATTGTAGAAAAGTTGAACGTCTATGGAAATCTTCTAAACTCAAGGTTAGGCTTCATCTTAAAGAACTAAGGGTTACCTTAAACGAGACGCTGAGAAATGTGAAAACTCGCTTCTTTACTCAGCTTATATCCTCGAATAAACAAAATCCCAAAATCTTGTTTGACACCATTAATGCAATCGTTTCTCCTTCTGCCCCTCAAGCAACTGTGTCCTCTAAATCGGACTGTAATGAATTCCTTCTCTTCTTTGTAAATAAGTTGTAAATAAGAGATGTCAGGGCAAACATATCACCATCACTTTCTCAGAACTCTGCTTGTGACCTGTCTCCTGCTCATTCTCTTTTAAGCCTGTGACATTACAGGACATCACCTCTCTGCTACATACATTGAAACCCTCATCTTGTCCTATGGATGTTCTCCCTACTGTGCTATTTGTTAGCTTTTGATTCTATTGAGATGCTTAATACTTCACTTTTAACTGGTGTCGTTCCTAGTTTTTTTTAAACATGCTGTTGTTAAGCCTGTACCTAAACAACCTAAGAGCCACAGGCCGATATCCAAACTTCCATTCATGTCAAAAATTCTAGAAAACGTTGTAGCAGAGCAACTCACCCTTTTCTTAGAGAATCACAAGCTTTTTGACAAATTCCAGTTTGGTTTCCGTAAAAAGCATTCCACGGAAACTGCATTACTTAAAGTTTTAGAGACATTATGATGTCAGCTGACTCTAAGGAACACACAGTTTTGGTCCTATTGGACCTTTCATCTAGTTTTGATACTATTGATCACAATATTATGATAAATAGACTCCATGATTGGGATGTCTGGATCGGTTTTAAAATGGTTTTCATCCTGCCTTTCTGGCAGAAGTTTTAGTGTTTATATGAATCAGATCATGTCTGAAACTGCAGGGTTATCGTGTGGGGTACCACAGGGTTCTGTCTTGGAATCTATTCTGTTCCTTTTGTATATATTTCCTCTAGGACAATAATTAGTCAATTCAGTGACATATCTTACCATCTGTATGCGGATGATATTCAACTGTACTGCTCCATAAATTCCATAAATTGTATTCTTTAATCAACTGCTTGACCAGTGGTTATATGACAATTTCTTGCTTCTGAACTCAGAGAAAACAGAAACACTGATTATCGCCCCTGAAAGTAGAATCCCTCAGATAAAGCAGCATATTGGTGACTTAGGCTTGTCTGTCCAGCCGAGCCTCAGGACCTTAGGTGTTGTTTTTGATTCAGCGATGTCCTTGGGGTACCACTCTAAACAATTAGTCAGAAACTGTTTATTCCAACTGAGGAATATTTCCAAACTAAGAACACTGGTGTCAAAGGGTGACTTGGAGATGATTATTCATGCTTTTATTTCCTCTCATTTAGATTACTGTAACAGTCTTTTTACTTGTTAGAGCAAGAAGGAGCTTTACCGTCTCCAGGCTGTAAAGAACTCTGCTGCAAGGCTTTTAACTCACATTAACAGAAGAGCGCACATCACACCTTTTTTAGCAACACTTCACTGGTTACCAGTCCAGTATAGAATTCAATTTAAAATCCTGGTCCTTAGTTTTAGAGCCCTGCATGGTCAAGTTCCTCCCTACATCTCTGACTTGATACAGCTTCATACTCCCACCTGTAGTCTGAGGTCATCAGGTCAGAGGCTGTTAGTGGTTCCCTACACTCATTTTAAAACCAGAGGGGATCGATCATTCCAAGCAGTGGCACCTAGGCTGTGGAATGCACTCCCTTTCTATGTTGTGTGAATTCTGTTGATTCTTTTAAAAAGCAACAGAAGACTCTGCTATATAGACTCTGCAATACGTGGCCCGCGGGCCAAAACTCCATGACTAACTTGGAATCATTACTTCAAATATTCAAAGTGTAAACAACCCCAAACCTATGTAAAAACTGGTTGAAGAAACACAGGGAATACCAGACCACCTGACTGTGAAAGAGTAGTGCAGGCTGGATTAGCACATTTCTTTGCCTTCAATAGTGGAACACCAGTTCTAGCTCACATAGCATAGCAGACACAGTTTCCATGTATGAAGGTTCTGTCCCAGGACAGTCTATACCTGATGCCACCTCCAAAGGCCCCTGTGCTTTCCGCAGCTCCTTGACTGCCTCCAGGAATTCTCGGCCTCCGGCTTTCTCCAAGGCGTTGCCTGAAAGCAGAGCACAGCAGCAGGTGAGCACAAGACTGGATGGAACATATTCAACAAATGTGTTATTAAGAAATACAAGACACCAGGCCAGATATTATTTTACATGTCACACTCACCCACTCCGTCTTTGAGGTCCATCTCTGCGTTTGTTGGATTAATTATCCCCTCCACCTTGATTGTTCCGATTTTGCTGATTTCGCTCTCTGTAAGTGAAAGCTGTGGATTCACAAAGTCATAAGCACTAAGTCAGCTGCTGAGTACCTGGGCCCAGGAGCCGGGTACTCCACATTCACTCCACCTTCCCCCACCTCCAGTGTGAAACCCCTCTGACACATGTTGGATTAAATTGACATTAAGCTTCAGCAGTCTGAACATCTTGAACCAGATTTTAAATCCCTCATCGACACTGTCCTGGAATCAGTGCGTTACATCGGATGCTCTGCCTTCTCTTCAGCTTGTGGGTGTTACGTTCAGTCAGATCCGCCAGTTACATATCTATCTCAAATGATATTACTGAAAAATCGGAATAGATAAGGTAAACTCTTCCTTACCCCTAATATGAACTCACACTGATGCCCTGCTAACCAACAGATGACTGAAGTACTTGGAAAGATAGGAAGTGACTTTAGTTTTTCTCTCAAGCCGGATCAGCTCACAGACTATCGCTCGTCGACTGTCTTAACACTTTCCCTATTCCTGTTGTTATTAGCATTGCAGCAGTAAGGTGAAATCTTCTCGTGTTCCACAAAATGAACTCTGCTGACACACTGTCAGCAGAGGAATCCACAGTATATTCAATTCCTGCTCACCCCAAACTACTAAGCATTCATATATATATATATATTTTTTATTTTTTTACTCTGTGTTTTTTTTGTTCATTTAAAATCCAGCAGTCGTGGAATTGGTTATAAACGTGTTATAAAAACATTGGAAACGCTGCAGACTCTTACAAGACTACTGTGTATTTATGTCAATCATTGGGCTCACTGTGACTGTCTTCTTAGGACTCGTTTGTACTTCTGTAAATTGGGCCTGGGGTCAATGCATATACTTTAGAACAACTTTAATGTAAATGCACATTGGATAACCGGATGTGTACAGCATAGTCCAGGAAGGCTGTGAACTGTGTTTTTTAAACCCAACAACACGCTAAGACAGATACTGTTCCACCCCAAAGACCCCACATCCAAACACAAGAAAAGCAATCTAGTGTATGTGGTCCATTGCAGCAAGGAATGCGCAGACCTCTATATTGGGGAAACTAAACAACCACTACACAAACACATGGCTCAACACAGAAGGGCCAACACCTCAGGTCAAGACTTTATTTAGAGGACACTCGTTTGAGGATCACCAGGTGCACATTTTAAACAGAGAAGATGGACGGTTTGAAAGAGGTTTCAAGGAAGCCATCTACACCCGGGTCGAGAAGCTGTTATTGAACAGAGAAGGGGGTCTACGCCACCACTTATCCCCCACTTACAATGCTGTCCTTTCATCACTTCCCAGGAAACTCAACAAACGTAACCTATTGGCCTCAGGTGAAGATACTAACGATGGTTGTTCAGTCTTGGCCTCGGGTGACTAACGATCATAACGTCGTTAAAATATCCAGGGGCACTAACGAACCAGTGGTATCAATCATCTTGGACAAAGACCCCACAGTGGTGCTACGTTCAGACTGCAGGCCAATGTGACCCAATACCGATTTTTTTTTCCAGTTCGGAATTGCGCCACTTCCTTTTGTGGTCCAAATCCGATACAGATCGGATTTTTTTAAATGCGACCTCAGTCTGGACACTCAGGTTGGAATTAATGCGACTTTGACGTAACTCAAGAGCTGTTGTCACAGTCCTGCTGCAGACGGAGAGGACAATAAAAAACTTGAGTCTCACGTGAGCTAACCGGAGCTAACCTCTGTTGCTCCTTGTTTACTTCTGTAGCCTGCAACACGTGCTCCATGTGTCGTGTTTTTCTTCTGTACATGGGGTCACTTTCAGGCTGTGGACAGTTCACACTGGAGTCTGATATGGGCCAATGTGAACTGTCAAACAAAAAATCAGATCTGGGAAAAAACAGGAATTGAGCATTAAGGCCCGCAGTCTGAACATTGCCATAGTTGAATTTCCCTACCAGTCAGTCAGAACTGAAGAAGTCTCTTGGATGAGGGACAAAACGTCTTCTAGTATCTTCAACCAAGCCCAGTTGCCCTTGACTTTGACCTTCTTTGGAAAACTATGACCTGGATGACTGATTACCTTCACAGACATACCAGCCTGTCCAAATACATGTTCAGGAGTCTCATTTACAAAACTGTGCATAAAACCTCACTAAAAGTGTATGTATGCCCAAAAGCCAAAAATGGCATACGCCATAAAATATTCAGACTTGTAAACCAAGCATACGCACATCTGTAAGCAAGTTCCCTTTATAAATCACAGTCATCTTGAAATGTGGCACATGTGAGGGAGCTCAATGTCCGACCCTTCAAACGCTCATAGTTGCCTATAAATGGTCAGTGAACCGCCCCTCATTGCAAATTCTGACAGAAAAGCTACAAAATGAAATTTAACTCAGCGTGACACCGACGTTCCTTTTGGTGAAGCTGAAGCTGTTTGGTGGGTAAAAAAAACACATTTTCACGCAACACTTGTCCACCGGAGAAAGGGGGCCCCCGGAGCTCCACTCCTATAGAACCGATCTGCAGTAAGGGGCATCCCTCCTAAGTAGTGACGTCACTGGCTAGAGGGACACACACACGCAAGACCCAGGTGCTAATTTGGAGTAAACCAAATGCATTCCACTTGTGTTTAAACATTTATTTAATTCAATTCAATTTCAATTCAATTCAATTTTATTTATTTAGCGCCCAATCACAACAACAGTTATCTCACAGCGCTTTTCATAAAAGAGCAGGTCTAGAGTATACCGTAGTCTATATAAATATAGAGTACGGTTTATATTTAGGCTATACAAACAGTCCACTCACTTAACAAGGCTGCCAGTGAGTTAAAAGAAATATTAATTGTTGTAAATGACATAAGCTGAAAGATTTACTTAATAAAATAGTGTTATACACATAACGTGTTTTTACAAGCAGCGCATCACATCCACATGCTGGCGCACAGCGTTTGGCTCGATAAGGCAACAAACATGATAACAATATATGAAAAGATGCTCTCCTATTTGCTCGACTGACGCCCTGAAAACGGCATCAATTTAAATGTAATTTGTCCTCATGTTTATGAGAATAAATTGCACTGCATGCAAGTAGCCTATTAATTAATATGATTCCTGATTAAACTGCACAACATCTTTTGCAGAAACAGAATCTCCGTTTGTGTGTTTATGTGCTCTGCAAATGATCTTAAATTGTGGGGGGGGTTTGCACACTTCAGGGAAAGTCAATAAAACGGGTGTTTGTTTATTCAGAAAGGCTTTAAGCCTACAATACTCAGAGGTAATATAGCGATTTATTTTACACAATAGTAGGCCTATTCACAGTTTCATCCTTCTGCCATTTCTCCTCTTTATGTGCGTACGCATGGTTTAGAGTTTACTTACAGGAGGCACATTCTCCTGTCAAGTTTGTTTTTTTATAGATTACAACCTTTGCTTGGGAAGTGGCATGCGCACGTTTCCAGCCCTGTTTTGTACATACGCACTGTTTATAAATGAGACCCCAGGTCTGGGAGTGGGTTACATTCTGATTTTAATTTTATTACTCACTTTAACATTGCCAATATTAGACCATTTTAATGCTGAAATGCTAATCCATGGTTTTATTACTAGCTTGTTCAGAGTACTGAAACTATCTTTTCTTTCTGGTCTCCCTAAAAGAAGAAAATTATAGATTTTAACGGATTTTGACCAAAAGAAAAAAAGAGATGCCATTACATCTCTGCTCGCATCACTGCTCTGGCTGCCTGTATCTTACAAGAATTAATTTTAAAGTAATTTGTATATGTATCAGCAACTGCCTGTCATTTTATGTCCTAACAAGAACTCTCAAATCTCTGCCTAAAGTGTCCCACAAGAAATGTTGTGTAGCCCCAAACCGTGGACCTCCCTCCCCCTGTCTAAGAACAGCTGACTCCCTTGGCTTTTTTAACGGGAAATTAAAGAGCCATCTAAACTCTTTAATTATTATTGAAACTGAAGGGATTATTAGGGCACGAGCACGAACCGTGCGAGGCCGCTATTGAAACTCAAGGGATTATTTTTAGGGCCCGAGCACGAACCGTGTGAGGCCCCTATTAAAACTCAAGGGATTATTTTTAGGGCCCGAGCACGAACCGTGTGAGGCCCCTATTAAAACTCAAGGGATTATTTTTAGGGCCCGAGCACGAACCGTGTGAGGTCGTGTACAAAATTTCTGTGGTACGTGTATCATGTCCAGATGTACAAAAAAGCCTCTTGGAGCCATAGCCTAAACCCAACAGGAAGTCGGTCATTTTGGATTTAATGGTAATTTTTGGCGATTTACACACTTTGTACTTTAACGAACTCCTCCTAGGGATTTAGTCCGATCGACTTCAAATTTTTGCAGTGCAGTCTAAACCCATTGATGATTAAAAGTTGTACAAACGGTTATTATCAGTCGACCAGTTTCCTTTGGCGTGCTGTCAAAAATCGATGATTCGCCATGACACAGGAAGTTGTTGTAACTTGACTGTACACCTCAGATCTCTACCAAATTTTACATGTTTATTAAGAGTCCCGCCCTGAACACATGTACATGCCAACATTCACCCATAGTCATAGCGCCACCTACTGGCAACAGGAAGTGACCTTTAATGAAGCAGCCCCCGCCCCACGTTTCACCTACATGTATGAAATTTCTGTGGCACATGTATCATATCCAGATGTACAAAAAAGCCTCTTGGAGCAATGCCCTAAACACAACAGGAAGTCGGCCATTTTGAATTTTATGGTTATTTTTGGATTTTTTTACACACTCCTTGAAAATTAGTCCAACGGCGGGGCATCCAAAATCGCTGATTCGCCATTAAACAGGAAGTTGTTGTAACTTCAGTGTACATGCTCACATCTACACCAAACTTTATGTGCTTGATAACTGTCCCGCCCCGAACACATATACATGTTCAGTTATAGTCGTAGTGTGAAGTGCTATGTAGCGCTACAAAGGGGACACAGGAAGTGATGATTAACACGTTTGTGCAGCGTCCAAAGCCCGTGGCAAATTCACAGCCACACTGGCAGAGCTCCAGAATCTGCAACGCGGCCACCTCACACGTCGACGCGCTACACGTGCAAGGGCCTTCCCAATGCTGCTTGCAGCTTTTTTAAGCCCAAGGCAAATTCACAGCCACTATTATTATAATTATCTTTGCATGAAATGTGTTTTATTTTGTCACTCTTATGATTACATATTTACACTGGTTGTCACTTGAAGGACCTTAGCATGAACTTGTTATAAAGGGTCATTTTATTCCCTATCAGCAGCTTCATTGCAAAAAATATCAGCACTACCCTTCAGTGGTCTAATGGACATATGTTACCTTTTGTCCAAGGAACAGGCTCTTTGCTGACAGGATGGTGAATCCATCTCCAGGACCGTCTTCCACTGTGGAGTTCGGTACAGACTCATTGTCTGTGCTCTTTGCCAGATGGAGAGAAAATGGCACATTTAAACCACACTTAAATCATTACAAAAATCTTAAACAAATAACAGTCAAGCAGGGTATCAAAAGACAGCAGCCGATGCTTATACTTTTTCTTTGATTCTGTCAGGCTTTAAAAAATGTTTGTATTTCCAAACTGAAAAAAGGATCATTGTGGTATCAGGACTGAAACTGAGTTTCAGTGAGCTGGAAACAGGAAGCAGATTTTTTCCCTGCTGTTTATAATGATTTAAAGTTACAGTCATGCCAGCTTCGGGTGTGTTGCATGTTTTATAAAGGTCTCAGTGTGCTACAAACTAACTAGCTCGTACAACACGTTGTCCAGCTGAAGGCAGACTTTCTGTTCTGATGAACTGAACAAATAGAGATAACAATTCACACATTCAGAGGGATCCTGCATATTTTCTCACCTCCACACACCTGGCCAATCACTGCGTAAAGTGAACGTGATTGGTGGACTGTTTTTTCGGAGAGTTAAAAGAATTATCAGATGCAGCCCCCCGATTCCGATGTTGGAGAGGTGGTTTCAGACGGTGTTCGACAATCTGACAAGCATTTCCTTTGCAGCATACGGGGGCCTTAATGGTCCCCCGGCTCCCTGTGTATTCTGTCAGTTCTGTTGAGTTGACTGACCTTTGGCTTGCGGCCTCGTTTGCCTTTAACCTTTTTGAAGGATTTGATGGGTTTCTTGCTTTTTGAGCGTTCTTCATGCTTCTCGGGGACGGATGCCTGGCTGTCCACTTTCACCCGGCCTCCCCTCTTCTTGGAGAGCAGCTCTGGGTGGATACGAGGCAGGACCCCTCCGTTTGATATGGTTACCCCCCGCAGAAGCTGATAGAGAAAGCATTTCAGAAACAAAGAGTTTGACTATATGAACATACAGTAACACACCTTACTTCTCGTTTCTTCGTTAAGAAACAGTGACTTGTATTGTGCAACAAATGTGACTGTGGTTCTGTTCCAGCAGAGGTTAACCACAGTGTTGGTATACTTCACGCCTTCTAAAATATTAGCTGCTACACACACCATCTGCTGTAAGCTGTTACCTTCACAATCGGCAAGTATGTGCCTCACACTCGAGGGAAAATACTTTCACTCACATGATCCTGACAGGTTGTTGCTAATATAACAATAGTTACATCATTATAACTATTCAAACCAGACACTGTGTGTTATGGCTGCATCACTGCATTCATTAGAAAGTTATTAAAGTCTTAAGCACGGGGATCCTGCTGAGTGGCCTCACTAATTTGTGTGGATATACTTTTCCACCAGTGAAACACCAAACAAACACTTCCTTTAAAGCTGCACTCATCAATAGGTTTATAATAACAATAGATCGAATCAGTGTGTGTAATGTGACTTTTTATAGTAAAACTACAGTGAACACTGTCTTCTTTTAGCAAGACACACAACAATGTTTAGAATCACCAGGATCCAGAAAATCCATTTTTAAAAACATCTGGGTAATAACATGAACCCACAGTGTGCTGGTACGTAGGTGTGGGATGATGAAGGGGTAAACCGGGGCAAAAGTAACACGGGATGAAAGTAACAAGGCGATTTTCTCAGAGCCCTGACTGCATTTGCAGTCCAAGCTGTGACAGCACCTTCAGGCCCCCTTGATGGAGCTGCCAAATATCGTGTGATTTTGTCATTGTTTACCTCGGCCGTCTTCGGAAAACTGTTTTTGAGCACGGCAAGTAAATTTCTGAAGCAGTACTGTTTTTCGAATTCCAAGTTGTGTTTCGTGTGTCACAGTAATGATTAATCTATAGGTCATTTAGTGCTTTAACACACCCTGAAGTTTGCCCTGTCAGAGATTTTCAGTGTAAAAATAAATCGTGTTGATATGTCAGGAGTTCCTGTCGGGACTAAAGTTTACTTTAGCCAAAAGTAACACGTGTAACACTTGTCCCGCTACAGTGACCACAAGTGTTTCTTTTGTCCTGCTGCTAATGTGGTGACTTTCTCTGTGTTGCAGCATGTATTGAAACATGTTTATCTTATATTATACCAACAGATTATGCCAAGAGTGAGGGTCAGAAAGACAGACAAAGGTCTGATTCAGCCAGATGTTTTCGTGCACATTTTGGAATTACATTACAGCTGGATAGAAATATGACTATTTTTGCATTATTTCGAGAATTTATATTTATGTTATGAATATTCATTTTCATATTGTTCAAAATACATTTGCAGTTACATATTTACAAGGTCATAGTCACGTATATTTAATAAGACCAAGGGATACACAAAAATCTAGTTGTGTTACTTTCGACCCTCCTGTGTATTACTTTCAACCCTCCTGTGTGTTACTTTCGACCCTCCTGTGTGTTACTTTCAACCCTCCTGTGTGTTACTTTCGACCCTCCTGTGTGTTACTTTCAACCCTCCTGTGTGTTACTTTCGACCCTCCTGTGTGTTACTTTCGACCCTCCTGTGTGTTACTTTCGACCCAACTGATGGGGTTGAAAGTAACAATGTGCCGCTTGTGTTTAAAGTGAAATTATACAGAAGTCGTTCTACATTTATACAAAATACCACCTGATATTGATAGACCACACCTGTGAGTTAGTGACCACAGCAAAAATATCACTGTCTACAACATAATCTTTTAAAATCAGGTTTTTCTGAAAAATGGTACTTTCGCCCCTGCTCTCCCCTACTCTTCTGTTCTGAAGTGGCTTGTACACTTGTACAATTTAGGAGAATCTGCAGTAGAACTGCAGTTGTTATCCAAATCTTTTTTTTCACTAATGGATTGTGTATGTTGTTTTTTTTAAGCAATTTTGATTTTGAAACTCCTATATAAATTAGACTTTATAATAATGTTGACATTATCCTGTTCCGCAATTTGAATTATAATATGATTCTAAATGTATTCATATACATCCCAACGACATCATTATTAATTTAAATTGGCAGTTGATGTTACTGTATAACACTACAATATCAAAATACTAATTGAAGGATAATTTGTCTGTGTGTAAGTGTACTCTTTTGGATGCCTTAGGCCTTTTGAAAGAGAGTGACAGCATGCTGTGACAGCGTGCTGATATTACCGGCAGAGACAGATGAATGGTTGTTCCCTTAATTCCACTGCTGACGCTGTTAATAATTATAGACTTTCCTTTCTGGATCTCTGACAGCACGACTTCAAACTTGTAAAGTTCTACTTATTTTTTGATGTGGGGCACCTGGGCTTGGTTGAAGATACTTCAAGACATCAGATTCACCTGAGGCCAAATGTGAGCATCTCATGTTACAATGCCCACGACGGCAGTTCAGACTTGGTCTCAGGTGACTCTAACAACCATAAGGACAACAGCCAGGAGCCCTAACAAACCAAGCTGTATCCATCACCTTGATTACGACTCCACAGATGTTAAATACCTGGGACTCCCTGCCAGACAGTCAGAACTGAAGAAGCCTCCCGGATGAGCGCCGAAACGTCTTCAAGTACCTTGAACCAAGTCCAGTTGCCCTTGATTTGACCCTCCTTGGATAATTATAACCTGGATGACTGAGAATCTTCAAAGACATCTGGCATTCATCATGTTTACGTGGGTCCTTTACACAGTAATCTGAAGTTATGAGCATTTGTAAATGGAACTGAAATGTAAAGTCCACCTGTAGAACGCTGTGTTACCTGGTTGAGCTCCTCGTCATTGGCCACTGCCAACTTGATGTGCCTGGGAGTTATTCTACCTTTCTTGTTGTCTCGTGCTGCATTTCCTGCCAACTCCAAGATCTCAGCTTAGAGATGAGAAAACACAGTGTGGAAAGCCATCAGACATATAGTTTGTGTTCTGATATTTAAACTTATTAACGTTCCACTGTATCACCCAGCCCATCAGAAACATGAACACACAGTCAAGATGTTTAGACCAACGTCTCCTATGAGGAAACTGGATTGCTGCAGCAGTGATGTGGACACTGACACAGAAAAACATTAAATAAGAATTTTTTTGTTTTGTGTTTTTTTGTGTTTCTGGCTTTATGGCCCATTTCTATTTCCAAAATAATTAGACCAGTGCTATAATGAACAGTGTTATAATTTGTGTAATACCTGTACATGATCATAATGCAAGAATGTTGCGAGTGAAGGGTATTAAACACAAGACAATAATGTAATACTACACCAGAACATGTTCATCACAAACACAGTAATTAAAGTAGTAAAGAATTTATGCAATATATGACAATGGGACACATGACATGTTGTGAACACTCGTCACAGAAAACTCTACAGTGACTGGTGCATTGTGGCCTGTGGGACTTGTAGCTTTTGAACCAGGGATGGTTCCCAGCATCACTCACAACACCCACGCCACACTTTATGTAAACAAGATTACTGAACAATATTTCAAACAATAACTTTAGTAAAACAGATGGAGAACAATCTACATCTAAATGTTTCTACAACAGGCAGCGATATAGCTAGCCCACACCACACCACATCATATTTTCTTATTCGTTAAATAAATTAATTTGGCTTTTAGAACTTTTGAGTGTATGTGTTAACACCACCCTACCTGCCAGGTACTCGATGACTGCTGCCATGTAGACGGGTGCCCCCATGCCAATGCGGTATTTGTGGGTGCCAGTGCGCAGGTACCTCATCATCCTCCCCACAGGGAAGATGACACCCGCCCTGGCTGAACGAGACAGCTTAGTGGCCTTCTTCTTTCCTCCTCTGGCTGACATCCTGCTCTGGACACAGCAAGTGACAGAGAATAACATAAGATACACATCCAGCAGCTTTTTAAACAAAAAACATCCACATATTGTATAAGGGGTCACTCCTTAATTGAAAAAAACAAATGGTATCAGACCACAAATAACTTTGCTTTTATTTGTCCTGGTTTTGACATCTCTGCCTCTGAGATTTCTGCTCCCACCCCAATACAGTGGTGGAGAATGGAATTTTGTTTCTAGTGGTCATGGCATTGAAAATAACATTTTAAAATATGTATCAGAAACCTGTCTTTTCAGATACAGTGTCCCTGTTACTCTAGATAATCCACAGAACACACTGGGGGAAGTTTTCACAGGGATTATTTCTTTGGTGGAAAGTAGTGCCCCTAAAACTTTTTAATTTAATTTTATTTCAAAACCTGGACAAATAAAACCAAAACTTTCAGTGTACAAGGTACATTTATTTGTCAATCTACTACACACGGCTGCACAATGAAATCAAACTTGTAGCTATATGTTATAGTATTTATTTTGTAGTTTTCTCACACCTTTTTGTACTTAAGGTGAACTGATCCTTTTATAATAGTATGATTGCCAAACAAATGAAACCTGAGTGGTTTGTTCACCAGTGGAAATGTAGTGCTAGAGTCTGACCATATGATCTGCTTCTCTGTAAACCCTTCTGCTTGGACAATTCATTGATAATTGGAAAATAATTAAACTGCCTTCTGCAAGTGTGCACATATATGCCTTTACAAATGATTGGTTGAATGAAATGTGTAAGTGAGGATGGTGAGACCACATCAAATCCTACATAAATTATGTCTAAATATTCAGTCTTAACACGTGAAGAAGTGACTTAGATCTTGGAAATTAACAATAATTATTATTATCATAATATAATTCCCCTCAGTAACAATATAACAAATGTTCAATAAATGTTTGATTTAACTAATTTGAATCACAAACAAATTAGCACTTAATTTTTCAATTAAGATGTTTATTTTGTTGAGGGGGGCAACACGGTGGTACAGTGGTTAGCTCTGTCGCCTCACAGCAAGAAGGCTGTGGGTTCTGTTCTGTGTGGAGTTTGCATGTTCTCTCCTGTTCTGTGTGGAGTTTGCATGTTCTCTCCGTGTCCGTGTGGTGTCTCTAAAATTGTCCTTAGGTGTGAGTGGTTGTTTGTCTATGTGTTTGCCCTGCAATGGACGGGCAGGGTGAACCCTGCCTTTTGCCCGATGTCAGCTGGGATTTTTTTTTTAATTTTACTTAATTTTATCTGTTGAAAATAGATTTTATCACAATTGTTTTGAAGGTTCTGCCTCACATTTGTCAAGTAATCCACTGTTTGGCATCAAGTGTTCTGACCATACAGAATAGTTTAAAACCACAATTAACCATCTGGTTTCTTTAACTTTTACTTGGTAGCAAAAATTAGCCTTTAAACTTGAAAGAAATAATGATTTAACATTTATCGTGATAATTATCGATATCAAATGATACACAAAATGTTATTGTGAAAACATTTTTGGCCATTTCTCCCTGCCCTAAGTCAGTCCATGGTGGTGAACAGGCATCCTCCAACACCAATACACATAACTGAGTGAGAGAGACCCTGGGGACCTGTGCCAGGTCTGTTTTCATATGGAAGGGGAAAGTGATTTGACATATTTGGACAATAACTGAGTAATGTAAGGAGAAAAAAACACACATAACGTCCACTACTTGTACCTAAGGTGCCATAATAGAGGCCATTAGGTCTTGTCTTTTCTCCCCCTTCGACCAAATGTTTACCGAGGGTGTTTTGGAGCAAAGGTTACCCCCCCCCCCCCTTAAAGGTTTCCATGTAAACAAGTTCCATCTGATAGGCTGCGGCAACGCCGGTGGAACTCACACGTCCTTTACATTTAATCACCGCCGTGAGCTCGCCGCTCGCATCAAAGGTGGAGGGATTTGACAGGCGCGTGCGGGGTTAAGCGCACGAGCTGCAAATGGAAAAAGACGGGAATGTGACGGGGGAGGGGGGACGTGCAGGCTAACGTTACTGTACCGAAGCTAACGTTACCGTGAAGCGGGGAGCACCTCTTCGACGTAACGTTAGGTTCATCGGTAACATTACCGCGAAGCCAGCAACACCACTTCGACGTAACGTTAGCTACGCAGACGTTAAACTGGACTTTTAGGTTATTAAAATTACAGCCTGACGCGGCAACAATACTCCCGCGGAGAAGCGTTTTTTTATGTAACGTTATTAGCGCTGTTAATTCCGCAGGGAAACACGTACAGCTTACGGTTAACGTTAGCACGCCAGGTCGGCTTCTTTTTAGCTAACGTTGAATAAAATTACTGAGTAACGCAAGGCATTCATTAAGGAGACTTCTTGGGTGTTATTCTACAACAGAGACATTAACCACGAAGACTTTTTTTTCAAACAGCCCCCCCCCTGCTTTTTTCATGTAGCCTCAAATCCCCTGACTGTGTGTAATCACATCAGACATGGAAAGTCAATCCGGATATGCGCCGAGGCATGGAAAATGAAAATCCCCTCCAAGTTTCTACCTGTTTAGTATTCCTTTCGCCTGAATCAGCGCGAGCCGGAGGTGCTCCTGCACGACAGACAGACGAATCCCCCGGTGAAAGACGGCGCGCTTTGTTTGTGTTTATTTGCTGTCCTTGTGTAATCTTGCTTCCCAACCTTACAAAAAAACCTACAGCAGAGCAAGCAGGAACAGCGTAGTCTGGTCGGAGGCTGGCTCTGTGCTACTGATGCTGCAAAGGGGAAAAATTCAGTGAAAACGCCCCCCTAACATGGCTTCAAGAGGGAGAATGTTGGTTCAAAGGAACGCGATGTGCTTAGAGATAAAGGTAGCATTGTGTTTGAAGTCTAATCAAATGTAGCCTATATTACAATAAGTTATAATAAAATAATAACTTATAATACAAATAATAATAATCTTGAAGTTCCTGTAATAGGAAAGATCCTAAATGGTACCCTAAAATGACCTTTCACAAGGCCTTAGAGTAAGTTACATACGTATATTAATCTACTATTATTTATGTATAATATACAGTATATGTGCAGAATTTATTTCACTTAATATTTTTCAGTTTCTCAGCCTCCCAGGCAGTTTCTGTGTGATTTACTGTAGACTAAGTATAAAACCAAAATCCAGTTTGTGCACGTTTTGTGCTCGGGTCCCAAATATAGCTCATTTAACTCTTGGACTCTTGAAATCTTTCCACACAGAAACATAGCGTTGGGTCTTCCCAGGTGCCCTCCAGATATCATGTGCGCACCAGTGCCCATGTCCCCTTACAGGCTTCTGCACTACAGACACCCAGTTAATACTGAAAATGCAAGGGCTTTCATCTGCTATAGTGCTCATGGTGGGAATTGTTGGGTCTCTGTAAATAATATTACAAAGAGTACGGTCTTGACCTGCTCTATATGAAAAGTGCAATGTAAGAACTTTGTTATGAATTGGTGCTATAAATAAAATGGAATTGAACTCAATTAGTGGGCTTTAGTAGTAGACTTGTCTTGCAGCCATGCGAGTAAAACAGACCACACAGAGATGTAAATGCTCTGTATTTGTATAGTGCCTTTCTAATCTTTTCAACCACTCAAAGCACTTTTACACTACATCTGCATTCACACACATTCGTTCACTGAGCCTAAGTGCTCAAACAGAAACTAACATTCACACACATTCATACACCAGGGGCAATTCGGGGTTTAGTATCTTGCCCAAGGACACTTCAACATGCAGCCACGGACTAGGGTAAAAAAACATGAATACATCAAGTGACAGCAAAAAAAATAGAATATGTTTAAAACAAAATCATAATTGTCAGCCCCTAGTAGTGATATGGGAAACTAATCATCAGCTGAGTCATCATGCATCTGGTGGCCAGAGAGAAAGCAATTACTCACTGAAACCGAAGGGATTGCCCGATCACAAACCCTGCAAGGTTATAATTAACCCTATTGAAACTGAAGGATTATTAGGGTCCGAGCACAAACAGTGCGAGGACCCTATTGAAACTGAACAGAATTCAGGAGTTGCGAAAAATTTCATAAAACTCTTAGCACATTGATGATGTCATGTTGTAAAGTTAGTGAGTTTTCCTTCAAGGGCGTATCCTTGGCGGGGTGGCAAAGTTCCATGTTTCGCTGTGAAACAGGAAGTCGTCGTAACTTAAGTATACATGCTCAAATCTGTACCAAACTTTGGGTGCTTGATAACTGTCGTCGTACCGACAAGTGCTCTACAGCGCCACAAAGGGACACACGAAGTGATGATTAACACCTTCTGCAGCATCCCAAGCGCATAGCAAATTCACAGCCGCACAGGCATCGCTCCAGAATCTGCAACGTGGCCGCTTTACACCTTGACGCACTACACATGCGAGGGCCCGCCCAACGCTGCTTGCAGCTTTAATTAGGGCCCGAGCATGAACCGTGCGAGGTCCCTATTAAAACTGAAGGGATTATTTTTAGGGCCTAAGCACAAAACGTGTGAGGTCCCTATTGAAGCTGAAGGGATTTTTAGGGCCCGAGCATGAACCGTAACGACCAACAACCACTCATACGTAAGAACAATTTTAGAGACACCACACGGACACGGAGAGAACATGCAAACTCCACACAGAACGGGAGAGAACATGCAAACTCCCCACAGAACAGCTGGGGGAACCGGGGTTTGAACCCACAACCTTCTTGCTGTGAGGTGACAGTGCTAAGCACTGTACCACCGTGCCGCCCCCCTCAACAAAATAAACATCTTAATAGAAAAATGAAGTGCTAATTCGTTTCAATTTGTGATTCAAATTAGTTAGTATGATTTGTTCTGTTTTTCTTATAAACACAGAAGAGGTGAGCTGCAGGGAATATCTTCTGAAGATCCCCACCCTGGATCCTGCAGCAATTTCTGCCAATGTTTAGGACGACAGTGATAATGAAGAACAAAATAATAAACATGTTATACTCTCTCCAAGACTTGTTTTTATTTAGACATTCTATATTGTTTTAACACTTAATAGGGAAATCGCTGCAAATACAATTGCTTATTCTATTCTAGTGTGTGTGTGTGTGTTTGTGTCATTGTGTAGTATGAGGAAGACAGAACAAACCAGACGTGAGTTTTTATTTTTCACCGTAGAAGCTACCGGAAGGCATCGCGCGGGAGGGCATGAGACAGGAGGCTCCAGTCTGTAGCCATACAGTCTTGGACTAGTTTGGTTTGAGGGTGTGCCTGACCCCCGCTAGCCGCTTGGCAAGCTTTATGACGCGTTTTCATTGTGACGTCACAGTAAAGGAAGGGAAACGGCTGGACTACAAACGAGCTGTTCAGAGCAGAGCTTTCTGTGGGAGATGGGAACTCCCTTTGGGCTGGACTTTGGGCTTTTTCACTTTGCAAACCTGTTACATGCACAAAAAAGAGATATAACTCAATAAAGGAGAGGGGAAAAGCCTAAAAGCATAATACCACGTCTTTAAAAGTTATTTAAACGGTTATTACCAGTCGACCATTTTGCCTATGGCCTGCTGTCAAGTATCGATGATTTGCCATGAAACAGGAAGTTGTCATAACTTCAGTGCACATGCTCACATCTGCACCAAATTTGATAAGTATAACAATAGTCCCGCCCTGAACGTATCCATATGCCAATTTTCACTCAAAGTCATAGCGTCACCTGCTGGCAACAGGAAATGACACGTTTTACGCTGTAATGTACTACTCCTAGCAGGTTGGACATATCAACTTCAGAACTGTCCCAGAAAACCCTTAACACACTGATGAAGCCATGATGTAAAACTTTTTCAAGTTTTCGGTTAACGACGTGGCGGTGGCATAGCGGCGAAGTCCCACTCTTTGTCATGACACAAGAAGTTGTTGTAACTTGACTGTACAAGGTCAGATCTGTCCCAAATTTTACATGTATAATAAAAGTCCTGGCCTGAACACATGTACATGCCAACATTCACCCATACTCACCTTTAACAAAGCAGCCTCCGCCACACGTTTCACCTACATGTATGACATTTCTGTGGCACATGTATCATGTCCAGAAGTACAAAAAAGCCTCTTGGAGGAAGTCGGCCATTTTGAATTTCATGGTCATTTTTAGATGATTTACACACTCTGTACTTTAACAAACTCCTCCTAGGGATGTAGTCCAACCGACTTCAAATTTCGGCATTGATGATGAAAAGTTATTCAAACGGTTATTACCAGTCGACCAGCTTGCATGGCATCCAAAATCGATGATTCGCCATGAAAAAGGAAGTTGTTCACTTATAGTCATAGTGCGAAGTGCTATGTAGCGCCACAAAGGGGACACAGGAAGTGAGCCCAAGGCAAATTTACAGCCACACCGGCATAATCTGCAAGGCGGCCTTGACGCGGTACACGTGCAAGGGCCCGCCCAACACTGCTTGCAGCTTTAATTTCTTTCTTTCTTTCTTATTTCTGCAAAGTAACTTCAGTTTTCGGGGCCTAAACATACTCGAAAACTCACCAAACTTTGTACATAATTCAGACACGGTGAAAAATCTTCATACTCACATCTGTACAGGAAATGACATGTTTTATGCTGTAATGTACTACACCTAGCAGGTTGGATATATCAACTTCAAAACTCCATCTACATACTCACATCTGTACCAAATTTGGAATGTACTATAAAAGTCCCGCCCTGAACACATCCATATGCCAATATTCACTCAAAGTCAGTGCCACCTGCTGGCAACAGCATCACAGAGCCATGTGACACAGACATGTACAACATCTGCAACATCTGATGGTGGAGTCACATCTTCTATTGCTTATCAAGCATTGGATTTGTACCTGCATTTTAGGAATGAGATCAGATCCTTTCTCTGAGATGGAACTACATGTGTATCCATCTAAACAAAACACAATTTTCTCCATTCCACAATGCTTAATTTGTTATTAACAATTTTCAGCTATCTTGCCTCAGGGTGGTGTCTAAGGTCGTCAGTCATGTGTTTTATACAAAACAACATTACCATAACAGATTTCAGATTAGTTTTCACAAAATACATGTACTTAAATATGTACTTAAGAGTACAAGGCCACCTGAAACAACCTCGGACACCACCTTGATTAGGAAAGATAATGGAAAATGTTTAGTGAATAAAATTGAATACATACAAAATTAAAGCTGCAAGCAGCGTTGGGCAGGCCCTCGCACTTGTAGCGCGTCCGGGTGTGAGCCGGCCGAGTTGCACATTCTGGAGCTCTGCCGGTGCGGCTGTGAATTTGCTACGCGGTTCCGACGCCGCATGAAGGTGCTATATGTCACTTCCTGTGTCCCCTATGTGGAGCTACATAGCACTTGCCGCTATGAATATAAATCGGTATTGGTGTGTAGATGTCTGCGGGGTGGGACAGTTATCAAGCACGTAAAGTTTGTTTCAGATGTGAGCATGTACACTGAACAATAATGTACCCAAACAATAAAATAAATTCCTTTTATATTTCCCTGCCTTGTTGTTTATGTGTACATACAGAGGAAGAATGTGAGAACAGCACACATTTCATCGTTACTGTGTGTTAGAGCATGGGAGAACAGTGGATACTTTTAATACAGCCCACACCCCTAATACTGTGTAACTATAACAAGTAGAGAACAGAAGAAAAAGATGTTCTTTCTTTACAACTGTCTGCATAGCTTATTCATATTGTGTAATGAATGAAAATAAATAGGCCTACTAGGCTCCTCTCTACTTTGACATTTAAGATTAGCTTGTTTGATCCACCTTCATACACATGTGACATTACTGTACAACTTGAGAAAGGTGAGTTGTTTTCTGCTCCAGCCTGCCTAAAAGAAAAGTGTTTTTGGGATTAAATGGACTTTATTAGCTGCTGCAGTGCAGGATGAACTCAGAACAGACCCATTTCTCACCTTATTATTCTAAATCATGCAATGAAGAAGAAGAAATGCATAATAAATCCTGGGACAAAATCTGTCCACAAATATCCAACAAAGGTTAAAATCAAGGGCAACTGGACTTGGTTGAAGATACTGGAAGACGTTTCGTCCCTCATCCAAAGGACTTCTTCAGTTCTGACTGACTGGCAGGGAAACTCAGCTATTTAACCTCAGTGGGGTCGTTATCCCGGGTCATCGATACCGCCGGTTCGTTAGTGTTCCTTGTTGCTGTGACGACAGTCGTTACAGTCGTTAAGACTACCTGTGGCCAAGACTGAACGACCGTCGTTGGTATCTTCACCTGAGGCCAATAGGTTACGTTTGTTGAGTTTCCTGGGAAGTGATGAAAGGACAGCATTGTAAGTGGGGGATAAGTGGTGGCGTAGACCCCCTCCCCTGTTCAATGATGGCTTCTCAACCCTGGTGTAGATGGCTTCCTTGACACCTCTTTCAAACCATCCATCTTCTCTGTCTAAAATGTGCACCTGGTGGTCCTCAAACGAGTGTCCTCTGTCCTTCAGATGTAAGTAGACTGCAGAGTCTTGACCTGAGGAGTTGGCCCTTCTGTGTTGAGCCATGCGTTTGTGTAGTGGTTGTTTAGTCTCCCCAATATACAGGTCTGTGCATTCCTCACTGCATTGGACCACATACACTAGATTGCTTTTCTTGTGTTTGGGTGTGCGGTCTTTGGGGTGTACCAGCATCTGTCTTAGTGTGTTCTTGGATTCTTGTTGAAAATCCTCCTGAGTTTCTCTGATACTCCAGACATGTATGGAATCACAATGTTGTTGCGTTTGACCTTCTTTTCCTCCTCCCCTGTAGTTTTGTTCTTCTTGGATCTTGTGGCTGTCTTCACAAAGGTCCATTTAGGGTATCCACAGGCTGTAAGTGCCCCCTTCAGGTGGTTCTGTTCCTTCTCTCTGGCTTGGGCGCTTGTTGGTATGTTTTCCGCTCTGTGGTGCAGTGTTCTCATGACCCCTAGCTTGTGCTCCAGTGGGTGGTGTGAATCGAAGAGTAGGTATTGGTCTGTATGTGTGGGTTTTCTGTAAACACCAATCTGCAGGCTCCTGTCCTCTTCAGTGTGTACAGCGCAGTCCAGGAAGGCCAAACTGTTGTTGTGAACATCTTCTCGTGTGAACTTGATGTTACTGTCCACAGAGTTGATGTGTTCTGTGAAAGCTTGCACTTCCTGGCTTTTAATTTTGACCCAGGTGTCGTCCACATATCTGTACCAGTGGCTCGGTGCTATTCCTCTGAAGGAGTTGAGGGCTTTATTCTCCACTTCTTCCATGTAGATGTTTGCCACAATCGGGGATACCGGTGAGCCCATGGCACAGCCATGCTTCTGTCTGTAGAATCCACCGTTGTACTGGAAGTAGGTGGTGTTTAGACAGAGGTCGAGTAATTTGCAGATTTGGTCAGGGCTGAGGCTAGTTCTGTTGTCCAGGGTGTTGTCTTGTGTTAGCCGTTTCCTAACGGTTTCTACTGCCTCTATGGTGGTGATGCAGGTGAACAAAGAAGTCACGTCATAGGATACCATGGTTTCATCTGGATCCAGTTTTAGTCCTCGAACTTTGTTTACAAAGTCAATAGAGTTTTGGACGTGGTGAGGCGTGTTTCCCACCAATGGAGCTAAGATGGTGGAAATGTGTTTGGCAATGTTGATTTTCCGAGCTTGCTACACTGTAGTGATGTCACCCACTCTAACTCACGCAATACACACCCATTATAAACTCAGAAAAGAGCTCAAAAAAGCATAAAACTTCGACAGCGACCGTGAACAAACCATAAAACATATCAGAAAGCTGAATACATCATTAATAGATTAACTTCTTGTGACCAATTTACAGTTTAAATCAAGTCTGTAGCTGAAAGTATGCTGAACTGGTGAGCTTTCAAAGTGGAGCAGGTATGAGGAGGATTTTGACAGTCTCTCCATTCACTTACAATGGGAGAATTTTTCTGGAAAACCTAGAATAATTTGGAAAGTATTCAAGGTATTAATGACAAAAGTAATAGCACCCCATTCC